ATATATCAAAATGTAACTGGAAAGGGTTATGCGGTACGTATCGTTTGATATCTATATACAAAACTTTCATGTCATAAAGAATGAGCCAGAATGAGAGAGAAAGAAACAACGATTCTAGCCTGTTAACCTGTTATTTTAAATAAAATTTTCTTTGTCTAGAATTTTCTTATTTTCTTAATATTATTTAATATAATCTTACATTATTTATTTTTATTTAATATAATCTTACATTATTTTGTAAAATTTTTCAATTCGGTGGTCCGTGATTAATGATCAGTACCTGGAGGACCGAGAGTTATATATATATATATATATATATATATATATATACATATACAAGAATTGCTCGTTTAAAGGATAAGATTAGACGCCAAATCGAGCCAGGTTGATGTTCAGGTCGAGTTGAAGATCATTTCAAGTGGATTTCACTGATTTGGAAAAAACTAAATCGTTGACCTGGAAAAAATGTAATAGCTATCGTTCTATAACCAAAACGTAGCAAAACAATATCAGCACAACATAAAGTTGTTTGATATTGATATTCGCTTCATCACTTTCTAGCAAGATGTCGCTATAGTGGGGAAAAGAGATGGAATGAATAGAAGCTTGTGTTTATAAGCAAAACTCTTCGTTCATTCTTCATAAAAATATCCTATTGACTGATTATCAGTCAATGGGTTTCGTTCTGGACATAGCACTTTTTTATGTGAAAAGTTGCCAAGCGAGCAGACGGTTCACCTGATGTTAAGTGAATACCACCGCCCATGGACATCTGCTACACCCTAGGGTTCCAGATGCGTTGACAACCTTTTGAAAATTGGGTTCCGGCTACTTCACTCACCAGACGAAACGCGAAAGTATTATTCTTCCACTTCCCGCCGGTCTTCTGTGAGGTTGTGGTACTTACCCGGACGACCCTGCCCATTCGTGCAACAGCCGAGGCTGGTGCGTGGCCCTACCAGAAGCCTTACTTATACTGCCTTACTTAAAATAACCGATAATATTAGATTGGGTATGGAAAATTAGAAAGTGCAGTGATGGTGCTTAACGACTTCTCTAACGGTTTTAACACAGTTGATTATGATATCCTAAGTTAAAAATACGAGAAATACTTATCATCTTTAGTAATATACATATATAGTAATATATATATATATATATATATATATATATATATATATATATATATATATATTAGTAATATAATATCAATATATCGATATAATTTTCTATTCGGCGACCCGAATGGCGTAGTGGGTAGTGTACCTGCCTCCTGTACCAGAGGGTGTGGGTTCGATCCGCACTACTGGAAAAATATTGTGTGATGAACATAGTGTTTTTCTAGTGTCTGGGTGTTTATATATGTATAATCTTATCCTTTAAACGAGCAATTCTTGTATATATATACTAGCTATAAAATTTCTAAAATTGTTGATTGCTTTCTCATACTTTATATTTGTTTATTTATTATTATTCCTATTATAATATAAAAGTAAAAAACAATCATGGTCTATAAAAGATATTATAGGGATCATCTGTGTACATTTTCGAAAGCCTTCCATGATACTATCGATAGTATCCTACGGCACTACACACACACTAGGTAATGAATGAATTGGTCTAGCGGCGCGTCGACGAAACTTGCACGCTGCGCGCCGCTAAGCGGCGTTACCCCTCCTCCGCTTCCTCATACTTCACCACCCAAATAGTTAAAAATTCACTGCCTTAAATGTAAAATATACTATGTGACAATGCAATTTTTCCACATTGGCGTTCGAAATCCCAGTTAAGCTACTATTTATTTATTTCAAACTATAAGCGTTCCTGTTTTCTTTTTTCCGTGTGTATAAAGCCAACTTATTTACAGATATACATGAACGTGTAGGATATAATTATATTTTATACACAGCACAGGTTAGGATTTAAAATAAAAATATGCATAATAAAAATGAAAATCAAATATATTATTGCATTTGTGAATTGAAATTACAATTTTACTTTTCTTTTTGTTCAGCAAATAAATCTGATGTTCTTGGCTCATAGAAGATCGCAAATAATTTTTAATTAGTTTCACTTTGCTAAAACTTCGCTTACAGTTTCAGCTGGAGTGGGAAGTGTAGAGAAAATTCGCAACAAATATTGGGCCCTTACATATGAAATTGGCGTTGTGTACGGGAGGAATATAAAGTCAATTTTTTTTTGTATAATTAAAGTATGCACCGTTGTTATCTATGCACTTTAGCCATCTAATAGGTAGTTGACCCCTTTACTAAAAAAAAAATGGGGGCCAGAATCAATAAACTCTTTGAAGGCGGTTTGGACTGCCGCAACGGAGTTGAACTTTTTTCCTTGTAAGACGTTGTCCAAATTCCGGAAAAATGGTAATCTGTTGGAGCAAGGTACGGGGAGTACGGTGGATGCAGACATTCCAATTGTAGCTCATCTAACTTTCTGGTTGTTTGTTGTGCAGTCTGTGGTCTTGCGTTGTCGTGATTGACCAATTTTTGTTGTTTAGCAGCTATTTCTTCCTTTATGGTTTGCAGTTGCTGACAAAAGATATCTGTAGTAATCGTTTGGCCAGATTTTAGAAAGCTGTAGTGAACGACACCGGCGCTATTCCACCAAACAATCACAAGTAACTTTTTCTGAGTCAATTTTCGTTTAGCTGGCTTTCGATTGGGCTGGGTCTCGAAGGTTCAACCATTGTAACAAGCGCTTCCGATTAACGTATAGTATCCACTTTTCATCAAAAGTAATGATTCGATTTAAAATCCCTTGTTTATTGTGTCGGTTGAGCTAAGTAACACGGTTGAACAATGTAACAGTCGATACGTGTTTGCAAGTTCGATTCACTTAATTCATCGTTCAAGTTTTTTTACTTTCTTGATTTGTTTCAAGTGGATTAATACAGTTTTATCACATACCCCGAAGCCTGCAGCTATCTCTGAAGTGCTTTGTGATGGATCCGCTTCCACAATATCCATAAATGAAGAATTCATTTCCACCGGTGGTCTCCGGCCTTCCATGGGATTGGTTCTAAAGGTCCAAATTTCCAGAATGAAAACGTTGAAACCATAAACGTACCGTGCTTTCTTTTGCGACACCAGCGCCGTACATATTATTAATCCTTCGAGCTGTTTCTGCAGCACTGGTGCTACGGTAGAACTCGAACTCGTACTAGTAAATATACCGATATTTCATGTTTTCCATTGTCCGTCCAGCCGTGGCACCGGCTCCGACAGGAACACCTGTATGTGCCGCTCCACTTCCTGGTGGAACGCAATAGCGCCTGGGGCCGATGTGTTGGCCATAAATTGCCTTTCTAATTGCTCTGCCAATACATCAGCAATGTCTTGGGCTGCAGCGTGCTTACGCCCATCGCTAACCACAGAGTGGACAGATGGGCTGTGGTGTGCGGCTGCACTGCCGGTTGAGGTGCTCAAGGGAGGTTTGAGACTCGGAGGCCTGCTCAATACGACGCTCAATGACGACGCTCATCCTTAAGCCGATTGAGTTTTGTCTTCACTCGTGGGTAGCGGATGCGGGCCCACAGCTTCCACGATCCCTGTACGTCCATCTTTGTCCACCTCGTTTAAAGAAGGCTGCCGACAGCTCATCCTTACCGAGTCTGCATTTAAACCTTAGTCCAAACCGAGGTTTAAACCGCTATCTGGAGAATAAAATATTATCCTTGGATTGTGTCGTGCTCCACTTGTTAGTTGAGTAGTTAGTAGTATTATTAGTTAGTAAAATTAGTAATTATCCAACTTCTGTTAAAAAGTATCGAGGAGACATAGTGGAGCGGACGGCATCATTGTCTCGTCGTCGGATGACAGCTATTATTATTATTATTATGCTATGTTGTTTATCTTATCCTTTAATCGAGCAATTCTTGTGCATATATATATATACAGCGTGTCGTTACCATCGCGACAATAAATGAACACACGTCTAACGCTACTTGCTAATAATCATAAAAAAATATTAACGTTAAACAAAATCCATAATTAAAAAAAAAAATTTTCAAACAAACTAATTAAGTAAAAAAGAATCAAAATTTGTAACATCCTATACAACTCGCGCCATAGCGTCGTATTACAAGCCTCACCTTCTAACAGTATGTTTTGTCTCTTTTAAATTCATTCAACCCATTCATATGCTTTGTGACCTTTACAAATGAACTTTACGTTGCGCTTTTATAGGTAAGGGGATGTTCTAAAATTCTTTGTTTTGGAAAATTTCATAACTCTGTAAATATTGATGTTTAAAGAATTTAAATGTTTAATACAACTTTAAAAAGTCATCCCCTATATGTGTATTCATTTATTGTCGCGATGGTAACGACACGCTGTATATAATTGGAATCTCGGAAACGGCTCCGGCGATTTTCATTACATTTAGTATGTGCGTAGATTCGGGGGCGAAAATTCGATCTGACTAGGTTTAGAAAATGTCGTTTTATCTTAGTTTTCAGAGAATGAAAAATATCATTTGAATACGACGGTAAATTTCACCGAAAAAAAAATTTATAACAGCTCGGTCAGTAATCGGGCGGCCCCAAAACAGACGGCTGCGGTTCGTGTCATGATCATTTGCACACTCTTTTTTTTTTTACTTTTTTTTCGATTCCAGACCATTGCTTTCTTTATTTTTTATTTTTTGTTGGTCCAGATGATTTTGTTATTTTTTTCCCTTTCTTTGAAAGTTGTTTCTTTTGTGAAAAAAAAAATACTTCATATTTTCTTATTATTAGGTCGGTAAGATCGAAAAATATTATGCATATTTCATTACTCAGTAATTAGTATCCAAATTTTTTATATGTAATTTCCAAAACACACAGTTTACAAAAAAAAAAAACAAACCGAGCAAAGCTCGGTCCTCCAGGTACTAGAATATAATTTATTAGTGAAATAAAAATAATGTTTTTATTATGCATTTTGTTTAATGTATTTAATAGAAATTAGTGCATTTAACGTTTTTATTGAATTTGCAATTTATCAGGATACCTGTTCTGGTAACAAGTAAGCTAATACTTGCTTGGTACTTGCTCCCGCAAGAATTTTATTAGATTCTTGAAGGACGATATTTGCCACGTATGTATTAATATGATGAAATAGCCTGGCGAATAAGTCTGGCATTAAATCATCATTTGCTGAACCAAGTGTTGCATCTTGTATGATTTGATTTAAGTCGATTTCTTTACCTTTGAATTGCAACTGAAACAATAGTTAGTGATATGTAGTTGATAACAACTGCTGGTAAACCTCAATAAATAAAATAAATAAATAGATTTCCCCCATAAAGCAGCTCAAGCGATACTCATATTGTTATATGCTGTTTACTAATACGCATATTACGCATTAGTTTCATGTTTTTTTGTAAGTAAATTATAATGTAATAAATAATAATGTAAAGTTATTATAATTAAAGAACAGAAGTTGTTTATTAAAATTACTCGTCATCTCAGCGTTGATAAATTATTTCAATAAAACTTTTAAAATAGCGGTTGATTATAGGTTGGGGAAAAAAGAAATCCATTATTTTTTATTTGATTCAGGCGAAAATGCAAACTGTAACAGCTAATTACGTGCAATTTTGGTTTAATCGATTCCGTTCAGGCATTTTTGATGTTAAAGATGCACCTCGCACAGGCAGGCCTGTCGTAGTCCAAATTACAGAAATAATCAAAGTTGACCAGCATGTTAATAGTCCTAGCATCGCCCAGGAGCTAAAGATCGACTATAAAATAGGTTTAAGCCATTTTCGCGCAGTTTGATTCAAAAAGAAGCTCGATGTTTGGGTGCCACACCAATTAACACAAAAAAAAATGTTGGTACAAATTATAAATCCTTGGCAAACGGAATGAAATCGACCAATTTTTTAAACGGATGGTGACTGCGAATGAGACATGGGTCACATACGACAGTATTGTGCTAAAACGGTCGTGGTCAAAGCGCGTTTTAGCAGCTCAAACGGTGGCCAAACGAGGACTAACGGCCAGGAATGTTCGCCTGGGTATTTGGTGGGAATAGAAAGGAATAATTTATTATGAGTTGCTTCCGTTGCGTTTGAAGCTAGCGATTGACCAGAAACAGCCAACAGAAGAGGTCTTGTGTTCCAGCAGGACAAGGCCAGACCACACACGTCAGTAGTGACTCGCCAGAAACTCTTGGAGCGTAGTTGGGAAATTTTAATGTATCTACCATATAGTCCGGACCTGACGCCAAGCGATTACCTTTTTCTCGCAGTGCAAAAGTTTATGTGTGATAAGACATTGCATTCAAGAGATTGTGAAAATCGATTATTAGAGTTTTTCGCCACTAAGGACCAAAACTTCTATAAGAGAGGCATTATGAAGTTACCTTTAAAATGGAAAAAAATTATCCAACAAGTGTAAAATATATCTTTTTCCCCAACCTAACATTAACATACATGAAACCAAGTATAAGATACTTATACTGTAACATCTTACCACGACGTCGTCGATATGCAAACGGCTGTGGAGAGCTACCAGCTGATAGGAAAGTTCTATAGGCTTAGCGCGTACTGCACCCAATATATTAACTCCTTTCAGCACTACACTGAAGAAATAGAAAATAAACATAAATTAAGTATTAAGATAACGGTCGTAGGGCCACGCAGCAGCTTCGGCTGTTGCACGAAAGGGCAGGCTCGTCCGGGTAAGTACCACGACCTCACAGAAGACTGGCATAAAGTGGAAGTATAATAATTTTGCGTTTAGTCTGGTGAGTGAGGTTGTCGGAGCCCAATTTTTAAAAGGTTGTCAACGCATCTGCAATCCTCGGGTGTAGCGGATGTCCATGGACGGCGGTATTCACTTAACATCAGGTGAACCGTCTGCTCGTTTGGCAACTTTTCACATAAAAAATGTATTAACCATTTATAGATAGTTTTTATCTAGAGATATTTACTACTAATAATGTATCTCGTCACAGACTTTTTTCTGGGGTGGGAAATGTTTATTTTAATTGTCTTATTCATAACAAAACGTATATCGAAGGTATAAACTTATATTAGTTAAAACATCTTTTAAGCAGAATATCAAACGTTCGATAAAAATCTTTATTCATAATCGTTTGATAAACCTGCGATAGTTACCTAAAATGTTTTTAATGAACACTAGCTTCTGCCCGCGACTACGCCTGCGTAGAATAGGCTGAAGGCGAAACATTCAGACAGAAAGACAAGACAGATATGCATATAAATTATAGCCTGTATGTTATTCTGATGTATATGCTAAATTATTGTAAAATTCATTAAAATCCATTCAGTAATATTTGCGTGAAAGAGTAACAAACATCCATCCATAAATACAAACTTTCGCCTTTATAATATGAATAAGGATAATGTAGCAATTTCGTAGAAAAATGGTGAAATGTGAATGATAGCCTTTTGTTATATTCGCAAATCTAGAACTTGGCACTGTAATTTTCATGGATGCTTTACCTACATACACTCGGCGTCAAAAAAAATCGCACATCCGAAAAAAATAATTTAAATACTATTTTAACACAACAGGCCTATGGCAATATTGTGGTTTGAGGGTATCATTTGAAAGGTAATTTCATTAGCTTTCAGGAATTTTAATTGAATTTTACTTTTATAACGAGCCGAAAGAGAAATTAAAGAAAAAGGCAGGGTATGTACAAATTTGCAAATTAATAATTTAAAAAAAAACTTAATAAATACAAAAAAAGTTCTTAAAACCTAGTGTTACCCCCCCTTGCCTTGATAACGGCTTTCATGCGATCTTTCATGGACCTTACAAGGGTCGCAACAGCCTCTTGGGGTATTTGTTCCCACTCTTCAAGTACCGCATCTTGGAGCTCTTGAAGAGTGCACGCGCCGTTTTAGGTCATCCCAGATATGTTCTATGGGGTTAAGGTCTGGACTTCGTGCTGGCCAATGCATAACAGGGATATCGACCTCCTGTAAATAATCCCGTACAACAGCCGCGGTGTGGCAACGAGCATTATCATGCATTAACATGAATCCATCACCGACATAACCAGCATACGGGACCACATGTTCCTCCAGGATTTTAGTAATGTACCGACCAGCATTTAATGACCCTTGCCCACGGCCACCCCGAGTCCGGGAAACGCACACAAGTTCCGTTTTCCCGTCGACGGAAATGCCGCCCCAAAACATACACGAGCCACCCCCGTATTCGACGGATTCTTCGAAGCAGGGTTGTGTGAACCTCTCCCCCTGTCTTCTGTAGACCCTTCTACGTCTGTCATTGCAGAAGAGACAGACCCTCATCTCATCAGCGAAGAGTACGGTCCGCCAGTGTTCTAGAGTCCACTCGCAATGATTGCGAGCAAACTCTAGGCGATATCTGCAATGCTGTGTAGTAAGTTTTGGACCTTTAGCAGGTCTATGGGCTGTTAAACTCTTTTCGTGTAACCTTCTTCTTATCGTAGAAACACAGATGTTCTCCGAGTTGATCGAAGCTGTTGTTGCAACTCAACAGCATTTGTAAAACGGTTTCGTAAAGATGTCGTAACGATGAAACGGTCATCTCTTTGTGCACCGTTTTCTTTCAGATCCCGGTTTTCTAACATAACCACCAGTCTGCTGAAAACGTTGGAACACCCGTCGAACTGAAAAACGGGACAGGTTCAACTGTCGAGCAACGTCACACTGCCGCATCCCCGACTGCAATAGGGCAATCACTTGAGCGGCTTCTTCAGAGCTGGTGTCCATCTTTACTTGTTCTTACTTGGGTTACTCGTTCATGTGTGTTCACTGCAAAGTCTAAATTACGACTGACCCATATTTCTTTTTTTTTTTTTTTGGCTTGATGAGCCTCTGTTGGCCTTAGGGGCCTTTACAGTTTCGCCGGACTTGAGGTGGCCAGGCGCTCGGAGCGCCTAGCCTGAACCTCGGCGTAATATTATTACGCGTTATGGTGACTAAGCTCGAGGGCTCCCGAGGGAGCCTCGGCTCGGGCCGTCACGCTATTGTTATTACCGGTTTGGGAGGCCGTCAAGCTCTTAGGGCGCTTTGGCGGACGCTCAATGGAGTGACCAGGCTCAAGGGTCCCCGAGAGGGAACCTCGGCTTGGGCTGTCACTCAATACCCGTTTAGCATTCCGATTCGAGGGTGCCCGAGAGGGCCGGACCTCGGCTCGATCGGTAGCTATTATCTGACTGGGAGAATTTCTAGATATAACATTACTACCACTTCGGAAAGCGTTGGCGCTGGGAGAAGAAGTGGCGGAAGAAACTCCAGCAACGCTTCTATAATTAACGGGGGAAAACCTGCCAGGTACGTGGCGGAACCTAGTATATGTTTGCCGCACTCGCCGGCGAGTGCGGTGTGATCTGATGTGTTTGCGTAATTGCTTTATTTTGTCGATGGCGATAGTCGTCTCGTCATCAGAGAAATCGAGTACGTGTCGTGGTCTGCGCCATTGGCGTCGGAACGAACCTAGCGGTAGGGGTTTGTAGGTGCCGGCACCTACAACTAACGGATTGGGATGCGCGGCAGCGGATTCGAAGTAGCGGCGCGACGCCGACTTCAGGAATTGAGCGATGGTTGGCAGCTCTAAATCTACATGTAAGTCGACGTTCCGCATGAACCACGGGGCTCCCGTAGCTCTGCGCAAAAATTCTGCGATTCTGGATGACCTGAAGCCGATGTATTTGCCTCGGGGCAATGTGCGCAAAGACCGGACTCGCGTATGTCATGATGGGGCGAACTACTGCCTTATATAAAGTCACCTTATTCCGAAGGGACATTTTTGAAGTTTTATTTAAAAGGGGATACAGGCGACCTAGTACGAAGGCCGCCCGGTTTCTGACCCGAGTCACGTGCTGTCTGAATTTGAGTTTAGAGTCAAGGACTACACCTAAGTATTTGATATTATTTACCCATGGAACCGGACTATCCATGAGTTTAACGGGTGGAGGGTTAGGCGCATTTTTGTGAGAGAAGTAGACTGCTGCGCTTTTAGCGGGATTGATCTCGATCCTCCAAAGCCGGAACCAGTCACCGATGGTGATGGCCGCGGCCTGAAGGCGTCGATGGATCATTTTTGGTGTTCGGCCTGACGTATATAGGCAGGTGTCGTCAGCAGGCAGAGGGCAAGTTCTACACCTTTGACACGCGGCATGTCTTTAGTGTAGAGCGTGAACAGGACTGGGCCCATATTTCATCTAGATGGGTCGATCTATTTTATATCCTTTATTTTATACCCTTTTTAGGTGGTGTAACTAGCGTCCTTACTAACGAGCATTTGACAGTGTTTATTTTTGACGCTCTATAATGATAAATGTTTTAATGATTTCATGATTTTTTTATTAATAATGTAAAGCTATTCAAATACCCATTTAAAACATACCAATATTTATATAAATATAATTAGTTTCTAGCCATTACAGCCATTTTTCGCGCAAACTCATCACTATTTTTGCTTTCTAAGATTATCTTGAAAGATTCGGTGAAGAAGCGGATTCAACTTATCGAAAATAAAAGCACCGACACGAACTCCAATGCAACGAAGGTGGCGGTGTGGAATGATTTGAAAGAAGTCATTGCAAACGTCACTAATCACAGTTTACAGTATGTTACTTTATGGTAACTTCCGTGCTTCTCTTTCTAACAACGCTATAAGACGGATGCAAGAAAAAGAAAAAGCTTATAACAGTGACACTGTTATAAGCTCTTTCTATTGCTCTTATTCTCTCTTTCAGTTAAGAGCTTATAACAGTGACACTGTTATAAGCTCTTCCTGTAACTGTGTGACAAGATGTAACAGTTTTTGTCTCTTTCTAACTAAGGTAACAGTCGTAAGCATGAATAAAGCTTGTGACAGTGTGTTATGGAGTAATTTGTCTGGAACAGGAACTGTTATTTAAGTTTGTTCTTAACAGGTACAGTTTGTTATCTCGAGATACCTGTTACATTTATAGTAGGGTCCTAGTTTGGCCTTGCATAAATCAAAGACAGTATCGGAGAGTTAATGAACGTTTTAGCGTTATAGAACGATTATGAACAATGTTTTTTGAGCATATTATTTTAGCGAGCTTTTAAACCTCCAATAACATATTATGAATAAGACCGTAAAGGAATACAAATGACATAGTCGAAAAATTTTGAGATGGGGATGTCGACAAGACGTTTATTATAATTTGTTATTATTTTTTTTAAAAATGAACCATTATAATCAACCTTAATCAACTAATATAAAACTAGCATATATTTTTAAATGTTTAGTAGTTAATTTTGTTTAATATTTAGTATAATAATTTAATTTTAATATGTAGTATAACAGAATGACAGATTTGCGATCTAATATAATTCGGAAATAAAAGCATATTTCTAATTTTCTTGATTATTCAAATAAGCTAACCAAAATAATTAGACGCAGTGTGCATGATCGTATAACATAATACGTTTAAGAAATGTTTACGACTCATTAATTTAAAATTTTATGCAGTAACAGATATTAGACACCTACCATCATTTGTAGGAAAAAAGTTGAGTTGTTTGATTTATGAAATAAAAAAATTACCTTAAATGTCCCTTCATATGTAATGGTAATAATTCCGCTAAAACGAGATCAGCTTGAAGATCGACTGGAAAATTATGAATGTTATCGGTTAATAAATAATTAATGAAAATCAGTTTGTTTAAAAGTAAACTTCAGAAAATTCAATATTTAGATTTATTTTTATAATTAATTCATATAAAAATAAATTTAAAAATGAAATTATGCCGTTTCAAAATGTCGCGTAAATGCGTTCCAGCTAGACACAAACAGGCTCAGCTTATTGATGAATCATCATCATTAAACCGACGTTTCCATTCTAAAGTCTGCCAATCTGCAGTAATCTGTCAAACGGCCACTCCGCAGTGGGGGTGCGTGGTAGACCATGCCCTGATACCCTCTGTACAGAGGAGGCCTTTGCCCTACAGTGGGACATGTACAGGCAACAGCCTAACAGCAACAGCAAAAGTAAAGTAACAACTTTTCCTTTCTATAGGCCACCATTATTGGCTATTATATCAATAATATACGGAAAAACATAAATTAATGTTACCGTTAAGATTCAGAAGCGGTATAGTAAATCCAAAGTCCACTCTTTCAGTTCCAAGGCGCAATTCCAATAAGTTTAGTTTAAATCGTATCGCTCCAGTCATTTCCAAGTTATTCAAAAGAACACGACCCCTTTAAAATAAATTGTTTTAATTTTTTTTTTTAATATGTTAAAATACTCCCCAATATCTACTTTGAGTTATCTCACCTTAATAAATCAAAGTCATTATCGATAGATAATGGCGGTAGACTAGACCTTGTATAAGGATCTAACGGGGGTAATGTATAAAATCCAACTCTAAACATTCGCCGGGCCTCTTCGACCAAGTTACGTGCGTTGCGACTGCTTATTAAGTCATCACCAGACAAAGGCGTGTAACGCTGTGAAAGGTTGCCGATCTGAACCATGGCATCGTAGGGACCCAAGTGCACTGCTTTACCACTGACTACAAAACAGAAAATTATAATTATACTATTAATTAGTGTCACTTAATTAGTATTCGACATTTTAGTTTCGTGAATAAATCATTCAAAATTCAAAGTATCTGGCTACAGTGATGTTGTGTAGTGCATCGATTTTCTTGATGTTAAGTTGTCCCTATCCCATATTTGTGATCGATATCTGACCGCAAATTACACGTGTGTGGGTAATATGTGTTCAGACATGGGACATTTTAGGCTAATCGCTTGCAAATAAAGAATTAATGCAACCATTCACATTCATCAAAGTATTATCATCATGCATTGTGTCATCATGTGCATTATCTTGTCTATGACACGATTTGAGCGCAATAGAACAGAATTGCAGTTGCTGACAACATCAGCTAAAGAATGAATAAATGAACAGAAACTGCGTAAAAAAATGGGTCAAAGATGTACCTCAACTTCTGCGACGCTAGTCGTTCGGTTAAAATACAAATACCCACGGACAATATTCCGACAAACGAAAATTTTATACTTACTCAAGTCCTTAAGCTGCGCGTTCGCATAAACCACATAATAAAAAAACAACAATAACGACTTCATATTGAAGGTGTTGTCGATATGGTTTCACGGTCTATAACTGAACACAGTCCAGACGCATACGTTAAATACTATACAAGTTTGTAATTACGCGGGTTTTAACATGCAATGAATCTGAAGTTATTAGTTACACAAAATTGATTTCGTGGTATAAGAAAACTGTGCGTTAATTTCGTTGACGAGTTATTTTATTTTACAGTGATTATTACATTTCACAAAAATAACGGTAATAATATTTGTTTGATTTAGATTATTACAGATATTCTGAATATCGAGATACATTCTCGAATTGTAAGTGCTTCGTAAGGATGACTCCGATCGATGACTCTGTGGCGCAGTTGCCAAGGTATTGGCTTCGGCGTCGGGGGTCGTGGGTTCGATCTAACTATTTGTGTGACCCACAGATAGTTGATTCGCATCTGGGTGTTTGTCCACGTGAAATTCATGTTTGTAAAATGTCCTTACAACACAGGATAATGTGGATATGGAAGGATGGATGGAATAAGGAAAGGGATGCAATAGCAAGAAGATAATTAAAACTGTGCCTTAAATTCATGTATTAAATTATTTAATAACTTTAAAAAAAAAATAAAGAATTATACACAATATTTTGTGGAAAATCTTTACCTATTACATGAAAAAACAAACTGAAAAGTTAGAAATATATTAATAAATACTGTTAATGTATGTCAATTATAAATATTAGTCATAAAATAAATTACGAATATTATTTCTGGTCTAGTTTCTCATTAGATAAGGTGAGGTACAAGATATAATTGCTTTAATTGAGTTGCATGAAAAATTTCGTGTTTTATTCCAATTAATTTTAATGTGATTAAACCGTGTCATATGCTATAATTTTCAACTGATCGATAAAATTGATAATTAAAATTCATTGCAATAAATTTAAGTTCATTCAATATTGACAATGCTATTATTGCAAGAATATTAGGTCTTTACCTATGAAATTGCCGTTTTTCAGTACTGGCGTTTTTCAGTTAAAAAAAGTTTTCATTGGATTAATTTTGTTTTTAAAAACATTACTAGGTCAGTCTTTTGTTTATTGATTAGCTTTGTATTTTCATTACATTTGGACATTTTTTGTGATAATGGATACATTAAAAATTAGTGTCTCGTATTCCATAAGTAGGTTTATGGAATATGAGTTCCGTCGTGGCCGTAATGACCTATTATTACGAAACCAATTAATCATAGTGTTAATGTAGGCCATGTGCATTTTGATCAATCTCAAACCAATAATGGCACGTTTGACATAGACTTGAAACACAAGGTGCAAGCCGAACACACGATTTTATACAAAAACAAGCGTGTTTTCATTTGGGCACTAATGCATAGTATAAAAGGACCTACCTTTTACTTTTAGTCCATGGTTTTAGATCTCTTATCAAAATATGTAGGCTACCGTTCTGCCAATACGACTTCTAATTTTTTTTTTAATTTTATAAGACTTAAGTAGAACTTCTATACTTTTTAGACAGTGTCCTATAACTTGCAAAAGTTTACAATTTACTGTTTAAATGAAAAATAACAATGTGACATACAAGAGAATATAACTTAGAATCATATTAAAACTTAAAAGTTAAAATTATTAATTTTAAAGTTTTTTATAGTGCTAATCTCTGCACTTAAGATTGAACATTAAAACATGAAGAAAAAGTATGAAAAGATTGTCGCCACTGTGGGAATCGAACCCACGTCTTCAGCATTCGCGGCCTGACGCTCTAGCCACTGAGACCACGTGACCATGAACGCTGGAAAGGGTTCGAAACATCGGGAATTTAAATCAAAATAAAAAACGCGATAAAATCCGTAAAGTAGTTTCATTTGATTGAATATTTCCTATTTTTGGATATTTAAAATTATAGCTAGAATTGTTTTAGTAGGTAATTAAAGTTGTAATAATTTATCGATAAAAAATTATAGAGTTTGTGTGATTAGTGGTAGAATTAGTGTGCCGAGAATGATTTTCAGTAGCAGGTAACATTCTGGTTAACAGAAGTACCGTGCCTTAGTATCCGAAAGTTAAAAAGGTTGTAATTTTGATTACAAAGTAACAAAAATGAGTAGCATCTAAATACAAACAGCGCAATGAAATTCAGGTCTTATTGGCTATATAGGAAGTCTATATTTTGGTCACACTAGAGCTAGTCTTTGGAACGCGTGATTACACGTACTCGTACTTGTACGACTAAGTACGTGTTTTAACTAGTACGACTCACGTTTCATATAAACCTCCCTTTGCTCCTTTCTTTATTTTTTAACTCAAACAATTCGGATTACAATGGTTGTTACGAAGAAATAGCTTTCAGAACGGTAAGACCAATTATTGTATAGCGCCGTCAGCCAGTTTCTTGTGTTTTTGGCTTTGTGAGGTAACGCTTCTGCGTTTCTCGCTGTAATAACTGGGTATTGAACATGGTATGGGAATGCAATTGATTCTGCCTGTAGCGTTTATCCACTTTTTTTACGAATAAAAAAATATTCGAAAGATGAACATGATTGTTTACAGTAAAAGTATAACTAATTATGGTTATGATATAAATATACTGTTACATGTTTGCTTAAGTCTATAATCAAAGTGGTATCGATATCGATACTATCCGTAAAGCTAATGGCCACTTTACTAACTGTACTGTGTAGCAAAGAACATTCTAGCAATCAGTACTTGAGAGGCACGTTTCTTGACAAGGCAAAATACACTTTAATACGTTAAGCATTAGGTTGCGTCTTGAGTCTAGTTCAAATAAAATTTTCGTTTTTTGGTAGAATTGATTTTTTTTGTAAAACAAACTAAAATAGTATTCGCTTCTGATGAGAAACCCTTTCTTTTTAGATACTTTTGTCGGCTATTATTTTTTTAAGTCATAAATTACACAAATACGCGGTCCTAAATTGCACTGTGCCCACCGTCTAGTGAGGCCTGTGACATCCTATTCTCCGCCCAATTAAGCCGCCAATAATTCAAGTGTTCCACGGCAAATACGGTGATACAAGTCGGCAGCTAGCGTTGAGATGTGCCGTATCTCAGCCCTAGACCACACGCCAGTATATGAGATTATCTACATACTTAAAAGGCTCAAGAATAATGAATAATCATGTCATAAAAGCCGTGCGCACCTCATTTGACTTCTAGTGATGTTATTTAATTACTGGTCTGCTGTTACACGAAAAAAAGTCTAGCCCATCCCGAATGAGCTAACAGACTAATCTCCACCATAGAGAAAATTTATGAACATATTATCGATTTACGAATGTATATAATATATACGTTCGTAAATTTATATCTTATATTATATGGAAAAGTGCATTCAACTGTTAGGTATTATTCCCGACGAGCAATTCGGCTTTAGGGCGAAAACTCGAATGTCCTTCAAGTACATCGCCTCATGGAGAATTTATTCTTTAATTGTCGCAAAAGCGTTCGGCAAAGACTGACTTAACGGCTTAGTTCAAAGGCTAACACATGAAAAACTCATTAAGAATCATATGAGACCACTAGTGAAACCGTCTCTTCTGTCCCCTGTCACAGAGAGTTTTCCAAAGATCGGTACTTTCCCTGACCACTTTTCTTATAAACCATTGACATCTCAAAAACATCTAAGGTTGAGTTAGTCAATCACAATAAAATCCGGATTATTATTTGTCGTCAATCTGCATCCGCTAGGCTAACAAGATACTGTAATAGCAGTTTCTCATATTTAATCTGTATAGTGTATCGTAATTTAGTAAAGTGTACCTGTACATTATTTGACAAGGGACATTGACAAATGGTTGTCAAATGTCAATTGGCGTTAGTGATTCTGATCTGAATTATTAGTGTTGTGATTTGTAAAGCTAAAGAATTGCGCCAATAGAAAAAAAACATTAAAGGAATTGTTGTAGTTTTATTTTAGTATGTTCTAACGATTATCCCTAATTTTACGTCATGGCAGGCAATTTTTGGCAAAGTTCGCACCATCAACAATGGATATTAGATAAACAGGATCTAGTACGAGATCGCCAGCATGATTTAAACATTTTGACAGAGGAAGAATACCAGAAGATATTTAATTTTTTTGCTAGTATTATCCAAATCCTTGGAGAACAACTTAAACTTAGGCAGCAAGTTATTGCGACTGCTACAGTCTATTTCAAAAGATTCTATGCAAGAAACTCATTGAAATGCATAGACCCATTACTTTTAGCACCCACTTGCGTCTTCCTATCATCTAAGGTTGAAGAGTTTGGTGTTATATCTAATTCTAGACTAATAACTACATGTCAAACTGTAATTAAGAATAAATTTAGTTATGCATATGGACAACAAGAGTTTCCTTATAGAACAAATCATATTTTGGAATGTGAATTTTATCTTTTAGAGAATCTCGATTGCTGTCTTATTGTATATCAGCCTTATAGACCCCTCCTGTTATTTGTACAAGATATAGGACAAGATGAGCAATTACTCACATATGCATGGAGAATAGTAAATGATTCTTTGAGGACTGATGTTAGTCTACTTTACCCTCCATATCAGGTAGAACAGTTTTTGTATTTTGTGTTATTTATCTGTATAAAATAAATCCATTGCCTACAATTCTGTAGTACAAACAAAATAGATGTCCAAGAATATAAACTAATCATACTTTTTCAGATTGCAATAGGTGCCTTACATATAGCATGTGTAATGCTTGGTAAAGAAAATTTAAAACCTTGGTTTGCTGAACTGAATGTAGATATGGATAAGGTATATCAATCAATATTTTCTTTAAGCATATATCTTTATGATTGATTAGTATATAATATGAGTTTATATTTTTTTAGAAAATGCAATTTAATAATAAATATTTTGGGACATATTTTTACACAAGGTTATCTAGTCCCAAACTAAGCAAAGCTTGTACTATGGATACTAGGTAACTGATAATCATACTTAAGCATACTTTCTTTGTAAATAAACACATATTATAGATATATAAATACCCAGACACTAGTAAATATTTTTCCAGTAGTGGAAATCGAACCTACACCCTCTGGTGCAAGAGACAGGGTCACAATCCACTTTGCCAATTGGAGTTTCAGTTTTACAAGCAAAATGAAGTTAAACCTTTAAGCAATTATTGTAGATTGTCAATAAGGGCCCAAGAATATTGTAAATTCTTTAAATATTTATAACATGTTTTCTAAACTTTTTTGAAAACATAACATATTGATTTTTGCTCTTTTCAGATCCAAGAGATTGTAAGATCGATTATCAACTTATATGAAATGTGGAAAAGTTATGATGAGAAAAAAGAAATTCAAGGACTTTTGGGAAAAATGCCAAAACCAAAGCCAGCACCCCAAAGATAATATTTTCTTCGGCGAACAGTATTAAAGCATACCAATAAATTTTATTATACATTTGTAAATGTGAAATTAGTATGGTATATGGAATAAAATTAAAACAAACTGAACAAAATTGACAATTACATGTTAAAATTTTATGTGATTTTTGCACTCTAAGCACTAGATGTATAAATATTTTCTTAGGAGCATTACATGAAAACATGAATGTATTCATTTGAAAACAGATATAAAAAGGAAATAAGTACAACATAAATACAAACATAAAAGACACAGTGGTTAAATTGTTAAAAAACCTTACCTAAAAGTAAATGATAAAAAATGTATAGTAACTCGACTGAGAATCAAATGTCATATTTTAAAATATGACATTTGATTCTCATGCCTAATAATAATTTCATTAATTTACAAATATCTTCAATATATACAGGGAAATTGAAGACATTTAATTGCATATGTAGGTTAGTTTAGCATTCATTCATATAGTAGAGGCTGACATGTTCTATAATAAACAACAGTAATTATAAAAGGTGATAACAGTAGAAGAATTCACTAATTAAGTTACAATTTCTCTGGGTGGTTTTTGTGATAAATAAATCCATCATTTTCTTTTGTCTCCCTTCTTGACTTTTAGGAGACTGGCAACAATGTTTTCCCTGTGTCCATATAGATGATATTATTAAAATCCATGTAAATGCTAAAAAGCACCAATTATCTAGTTTTAGCTGTAAATAACCTGTAAAAATATTATTGACCGATACTTTTTTACTCTCAAAAGACTGCTGTGTAGTTTTAAATACAAAAATAGAATTTGTACGAGTTGGTTTTATTTGTGAAACTATTATTTTAAAATCCATAAAGCCCATCTGGTATGCTTTAAGTAAAATATAATAGAATTTATTTTTAGACGAAATTAAAATGTTATTATAATGATTAGGTTCATGGTATAAATAGCCTGATTTATTTAAACGGTATCAAATTCATAATTCATATATGTTCCTTCTTAGGCATGTTATGCACACACACTGCTTAACAATCTTGGTGGTATGAAGATTTCTCCCTACTCAAGTAGATGTAAAGGCCTTAGAGGTTATATTTATTTAACATTAAAATTTGTACAAAGTGCGAAAAGATTGTCGCCGCTGTGGGTTCGACTCCCACAGCGGCGACAAGCTACACTGAGCCACTAAGGTAAACGACAATCGCGACGATCTTTTCCCACTTTTTCTACAAATTGTTAATGTAAAATCTTAAGTGCAGAGATTAACACTATAAAAAAAAAAAGTTATATTTATTTGTTTAAAAATCTTTACAGCATATTATAATGTAAGTTTCTATTTAGCTTTTTTTGTTTTCGTTGCTGCCTCTGTAAAATTAACAACCCAGCCCAGGAACCTAAGCATGACGCTAAGCAGAACGTATTCATAACTAGTGGAAACTTAAATAATATAAGAGTGTCGATGTTTCATCTATGATCACATATATATATATATATATATATATATATATATATATATATATATATATAACCATATGAGACTCGCTTCATCGTTCATCATTCGTACAGCTAAGGATTGGAACAACCTGACGGCGTTTAAAAGAGCTAGCGCGCTTACCATCAACGACTGCTTCTGGCTGCAACGCCACTGAACATCAGATGCAGGCAATTTCAGTATATATGTCTTATCTATGATCAGGTGGGATGGCAGTCAAGTGCTGGCCAGTTTGGATTTAAAAAAAATCAATGTCAAATTGACCTAGTCTTCTCATTCTTACTTAACACATAATTTCAACTTATGCACCTGTGAACGTTATGAACCTGTGAACCTGTTCTAAATATATCTCTTAGCCTTTAAACGAGCAATTCTTGTATATATATAATCGGAATCCCAGAATCGGCTCCAGCGATTTTCATGAAATTTAGTATGTGCGTGTATTCGGGGGCGAAAAATCGATCTAGCTAGGTTTCATTTTTAGAAAATGTCCTTTTATCCCTGTTTTCAGGAATGAAAAATATCATTCGAATATGACGGTAAATTTCGCCGCAAAAGAAAATGATATAATAGCTCGGTCGGTAATCGGGTGGCCCCAAAACAGACAGCCAGTTTTTACTTTTTTTTTCGATTCCAGATCAATGCTTTCTTTATTTTTTATTTTTTGTTGATCTAGATTTTGTTATTTTCTCCCTTTTTTTTAAAGTTGTTTCTTTTTTGAAAAACACCACTTCATATTTTCTTATTATTAGGTCGGTAAGATCCAAAAATATTATGCATATTTCACAACTCAGTAAATTGTATCAAAATGTAATTTCCAAAATACACGATTTACAAAAAAAGAACAAACCGAGCAAAGCTCGTTCCTCCGGGTACTATATATATATATATATATATATATATATATATATATATATATATATATACCTTCTTGTGAGTACTAAAGCTATTTGCAGCTTAAAAACGTTTTAGTAACAAAAAATAAAACCGATTCAGTCCAAGTATCTCACTCGCGATAACATTTTCTATTTGACTTTGAGGACTTTCCCGATGCATCTGCAGAGTCCAAGGTCCAATACAAATAAAATAAATAACGGAGTTCTGTGGTAGTATCAAACAGAAAAATAACCCGAATTGAAGACCTCGTCCTTTTTTAAAGTCGGTTGAAAAAGGGTAGTGAACTAAAAATTAAAGTAACAGCTTATACATCTCCCACTGCTGGGCAAATGCCTCCTTTGTACGGAGGGTATCAGGGCATAGTCCACCACGCGGCCTCACTGCGGATTGGCAGACTTCACATAATATCTTCGAAATATTTTTTTTTTGTTATTATTTCGAAAATATGCAGGTTTCCCACAATGTTTTTCTTCACGTCGGCACTAAAAATTAAAAGTCATTGGCGCCGGCACCGGGGATTGAACTCAGGTTGCTCCAGTATACATATTGAATTAAAGGCGAGCGCCCGGAAACCGAACTAACACGGCGTATTGCAAATAACCGCTCGATTCTCGCAGCGGCGAAAAACTTGTACTTTTTTCTACAAATTGTAATGTATGAAACAAAAATGCAGTGATTAGCACTACAATACGATGTTATACTTTAAAGGATCTCCCGCTCTGTGTTCTACAATATGAAAAGTTGTTTTTGATATTTTAACACACACTATATTAAAGTCCAATCTTTCATGAAATTAAAACCTACCTATTGCATGGCTCAAATGTCTGCTTAAACAAAAGTAGCATTTACAGGAGTCGTTACGGTAACGACTTATTGTATAAGGGGCAAAGCCAAAACAATATCTTGTTCATCAAAACATTAACCAGTCACATAATTGAAGCTGTGCATATCTTCATCGATTTTCGAGGACGTTTTAGATTGATATTTTCAACAATTTTTTTGAATAGGATTATATTTATTTTAGTGCTTATTTAATTAATTTGTGTACCTACGCCGTAAGCAATCGAATTCATGAACCCTTATCACAAGTTTAACCACTAATCCGCTAGGTCATCCATACCATTCATGCATATATAAGGGATTTTTAAATTTTAAGAGATTACTTGAAATATTTTACTTTTTGTTTTTGGAAATACACTAGATTTGAGATCAGCGAGTGTTCGGCCTTGTTCCGATAAATATTTTGGTTTCAAGATCTTTAGTGAACTCTTTTATCTTGTTAATCAATTATTGCAACATGTCGAAATAAGACCCGCAAACGTTATTAATGTTGAAATACTTATAAGAAGTGAATTTTTCCAATATGCCGGTGCAACATGGTGACCCTATCTTACTTTACCTATATAACATTCAAAGAGTCACAACTTGCACCATTGCCTATTGTGTTCCGTCTCTAACTTCTTGAAAATGGCCGTTACTATTTCTGTTAATCAAATACTGGTTGTTTCGTATTTATTAATAAATTCTGTTATTAGTCAAGAAGCTATAAAAAGGTAATGTAATAATAGCTTTCTCTAAGTAATGAGAAAATAATGTCACCGCATTTTTATTATGTATTGAATATTTCAATTAACTGAAATTTTATAATAGCAGGAACCTTCTAGAACAGTAATAGATATATCTCAATAAGTAAAACGGTAACGAGATTGTAGTGTAGGACGAACGAGGCGACCGGTCGTCAAAAAGTAACCTAGGTAGTTGAACAAGGCTTCAGAATAACCATTAAAACATGATTAGGAACACCTAGATACTCTGTCAGTATTCGCTATTGCACGAATGCGCAGCTCCGTCCCAGGAAGTATACAAGACCTCACAGAATACCTGCGTGACGTGGAAGTGTTACGCTTCTGCGTTTCATTTAATGAGTGAGGTGACCGAGGCCCTATTTACGAAAGATCGTAAATAGGGCCTCGGTCGCATCGGCAAACCGGGTGTTGCAAATGTCCATGGGTGGCGCTCATTACCTATCAGGTCAGCCGCCAGTTCGCTCGCCATCTTCTTACTCAAAAAAAAAATAAAGTTAGTAGGAGGAAGACTACTTCATACATTTAACGAAACACAATTAACGTTTAACGAAATAAATTGACACTTGTTCACGCAGCGCAATCAACGTCGATGACAAAGGAAACTGCACCTGCGGTGGCTTCTCCGTTTCCACTATCAGCGCTGAGGATAAGCCGCTCCTGGCCCAGTCGCCTGGCTTGACGGTGAAATGCAACGAAGACGGTGAGACAGCTTGCAAGAACCTGTGCGTCGCGCTAGCAAACGTCACGAAGGCCAAAGGGCCCGAGATTCTATGCAAAAGACTCAAGGTCGCCGACGAGCTCAAGGTATCAAATTCCTTTATTATTTTTAAATATTTAGAGTACCAACGAAATATAATAAAATTATCTATGGCATGTTCCCCAGAATTGTAGCTGCATTTTGCTCTTTGAGTGGCTGGTTATAGAGCTTCGAGAGAGAAGAACTGGCCTTCTTGTAAATTAAAAACTTATGTGAAGTTTCCAGAGGTGTATTTTTAATATTTAAGAAGTTTCGTTTGAATTTATTATTTGCGACAAACATATATAAGAACAAAACATAAATGGTTCTTATTAAAAATCTCGAATCGAAAAATCGGGAAATACATTTTAAACTAAAGGTGATAATATCCGTAAAAATAGTTTCATTTAATAAAATTATTACATTTCTGTTTGACCCCTTTCGCATCAACCGCGGTCTAATTAGTGTTACTTTAGAATCATGGAATAATATTTTATATTTAAAAAAAAAACCACGAAACGTATACACGTAACACTAATTGCTAATAATGAATTTGATTAAAAAGCAGCAGTATCATTCCTGCGTAAATCACGAATTGAGTCAGTCTTCTCTTATCGTAAATATTAAAAACAAAATGTGATGTCCATTTTCAGCTCTCCGCGTTCTTCAAAGTTTGCGACAATCCGTGGATATACGCCGACATGACGGCGGACGAGCCCCTATGCTGTGAAAATGAGCTGGTCAAGACGTGCGCTTCTATGCAGAAAGAAAACTCCACCGTCGTAGTTGACGCAAAAACTGTTATGTGAAGGCAGGTGGAACACATGCCAGACCAATGTTCCAATAACGTTTTCGTTCGCCTCAAGATTGCTAATGTATACATGTTTATTAATATTATATAAATGACACTAGTATATTTTAAAAACATCTGTATTGTTTTATAAATTTAAAGAGAACAATTTTTAAAATACCATTGTGTTTCATTCCTTAACAGTTGTTGTGCATTATTGTGTATGGGCGCACTCTTCATTGTGAAGAGCCGGGGAGCCGGGGACCAATTTTTTTAAAATTAAACTCACGTGTTTCACTGAAACAGTTATTATATAATAGAAAATAAAAACCTATTGTGACTGAGTTTATATTTATGATGATGCTAATATAATACTTAAATTATAAAAATGCTAATTTTGAGTAACATTTATATTAATAATACATTCCTAAATCTACATTGGTCATACTTCAGTTGAAATTTTTTCTGACTGTGGAAATTTAACACAGAAGAAGTTGAGAAGCAAAAACATTTAGAAAATTTGAGTTTTATTTTTGATAAAATGACACCTTGGTGATAATTGCCTTAGCAGTAATAAGTCCTAAGATCATAAAACCTGCAACACATCACGTTAAATAAAGTACACTTCACATGTTGAATGGTAATCGCTATTATGTTCAATTTATAAAAAAAAATTACGTATAAGCAAGATACAAGCACAGATAATATAACAAACTCAAACTTAAACATTATTATTATTTTTGATATTTATTTGCATATTCCGATTGTCGAGTGTACGTGATTTACTTTGATATTTTGTACATATATCGCCGGTTAGGGCCGTTTATCTTTATCGTCATACAGCTAAGAAAACGTGCTGGCTTTTACACTATGTCTGCAATCGGTATTGCGAACTGAAATGGACCAATCCACGAAAAAATAATTAAAGCCAGGTTTTCTATTAAGCTATGTAGTTAATAAGCTTGGGTGAAGAACATCCCACATCAAATAGGAAATACTTTAATCGAATATATGTGTTCATACCTATTGTTAATTATTTTTCAACTTACCAAAAATTGTTTGTACAAAGGCCATCGTAAATATTACTTTACTCTTTGCTAATGTTCTTCAACTCAATTTCCTTTATGAAATAGTCTGTGGAATGCTCAGAAAGATTTATTCGGAATTTGTTGTTTGTGGTATAGGCTAATAAAAATATTTGTTCAGTACCAATCAGGCAAATATACATTACTCACATGTGAAGTGCCACCCTAACATTACATAATTATGTTAAAGCTGTGGCTTTAACATATGTAACGTTAGGATGTACTTATCGTTAACGCACTTACATGCGATAAAAATAAGTTTCTTAAAAGGTATAAAAAATTCATCTACTACAATTTGCTCGTTGATTATAAAAATTACTAAGCCACATTTAACGGACGAACCTTGCACTTTATTACAAACGTCCTAAAGTTCATTTTACATAGGTAGAATTTGAGTGTGCAAAGATCACAAGTATTTTGCTTCGCCGCGAGAGAACCTCGTGTCCAAGTCTTGCGCCTTCTTAATTATGGACCTCTTTTGTGCCTCATCAAATCGGTTCACTTGCAAGTCAACGTCACGGCTGAATGGCCTGCGTTCCGGCTTTTCGTCGTCCTTATCTTCTTTCTGAAATAAACATGAGAGAAACATAACACATAAGAATTCATATCTTATTCCTAAATAAATGTCGCCATTGAGATGGTCATAATTATTAATTAGAACAACACATATGAGAGAATAGTCTAGTTATTAAATAAATAATCAATCGTAGGTTAAATTGTTACTGCACTGTAAACTATGTAACTAATTTGTTATAGCATTGAGTATTAGTATTAAAGTTAAAAGAAAAAATTTCACACCTTTTTCTTTTTTTTCAATTTCTTCTGGTGTAGTTCCAATAGGCTTTCATCTCTCTTGTGCTTTTTCTTATGCTTTCTGGAAACATAAAAAACAATTTGTTTATTAATCAAAATTATACAAGCATCATATTTAATATAGAGAGTATTTTTTAAAAATGTCATGCACCTTATAGCTTTTTCTTGCTCTTCATCCCTTGTTGCTATCTGTTTATCTCTCGCTTCTCGATGTAAAGCAGCATCTGCATCTTCTTCTTTCACAAGTCCAGCGGCTTTTCGAGCTTTCTCCTCTGGTGTATCAGTCCAACTTGACCTAGTTTTGAAGTAGATAATATTACTTAAACATTTTTTTTTGTTTTTATATATTGGTACAAAAATATATAAAATTAATGCCTGCAAACAATTTCCCCCATTTTTTGATAATTAAATTTTTCAATGGCTATCCATTACAAATATTCACTTTTTCCTCAAATTAGAAAAATTTTAGTGCAATGTATTGAGGTAGGGTGGTTTAAAATAAAAAAAAATTCTGATAAAATTAATAACAAAAATCCCTGTCCAAGACATACCTGTCACTCATGTCGGGGCCTTCTTTTGCTCTGAATGACCTGGCCTCCAAACCCAAATATTTTGCTTTTCCTTCAGGTAATTCCAACATCCATTTCTCTCTAGATTTAAAATCTGTTTTGTTCAATGAATGTCCTTCCATTTTCTTTATTTTCATGTCTAATGCCCTTTCCTCTAGCCGTTTATGAGCATGAGTCCATTTTTCTTCAGAACCTGCAGGTAATGGACCAACAACACTTATATCTTCATCAGAGCTATCAAATTGTATTATTTCTTGACTCTTTTCTTCCAAAACCTTGCGCATATCCTGTGGTATTGTTGGCCCTAAAATAAGATAACATATTAGTTATAAACATAAAAAATACAAGATTAACCTTTGGAATAATATAATAAATGAGAAACATTATGGGTAAGAGGTATATTGGATCTTTTTTGTTCTTTATTTTTTGGCTGAATTTGCTTGGTAAGCATTTGAAATTGAATTTGCTTATAGGTTAAAACTTCCAGCAAATGCAATTTTGTGTACAAATCAGGAAGCATTCTGAAGATTCTCTTCATGCTATTCAAAATGATCAATTTAGAATAAAAAAATGTTTAACCTTTATTACTATAAGCAAGATTACCTAAATGTCGAGGTGTTTTTTGTAGATGTGGTGGTAATTCAGGGCCTTCTATTTCTGGTGAAGAACTTCTTTCATATTTCTTCTCGAAATGTGGAGGTAAAGCTGGTCCACAGACATCCAGTTTATTTGCCAGTACAGTTGATCTCTTTAATTTATGTCTTAAATCATTGGAATCAATATTTAAAGGACTTTGTGGTTCATCATCACTTAGAATCTCACCTTCCTCACTGCTCTCCTTTTGGATGTTTTTCTGTGTTGATGTTACCTCTGTAGTTTCAGACCCACTTGTTTTATTACTATTGATTTTTCCTTGAATATCAGTTGTACTACTAACTTCAACTGTGGCTGTGGTTTCTTGTGTTTTGTCTTTATTGGACTTACTTCCCTTTTTTTTATGCTTTTTCTTATGCTTTTTTTTCTTGGTCTTACTGATTTCCCTTTCTAAGTTTAACAATTTTGCCCTGAGCCTTTCATCATCAGATGAATCTATCTCACTGGACTCTTCAGATTTTTCTTTAACAATTGCTGGTATCATATTGTAGTAAGATCCAGGTTTTACTTCTTCAAATTCATCACTATCCCCATGTACTTCAACAATTACAGGGCTTTTACTCTTTGGAACTGGTTTTTCTAAAGAAATGGCTTTATGAACTTCTGATTTTTTCAATGTTTTATTTTCAATTGAAGAAGATCTTTTTTGTTGGTCTATTTCTTTTTTATCCGCTCTTTTTTCTGTTATATGACTCTGAATTTCTTCTTTTATATATTTATTATGATTTGGGGATTTACGTGTTTTTGATTCAGACCTTCGCAACCTATCTTTACTGTCACTCTTGTGATCTTTTGATCGTTCTCTAGAGTCTCTTTCATTCCTATGTCTATCATATGGTTCTCTATGTCTGCTTCTTTCATGTGAACGCCTTCTTCTTACAGGTGAATGCCTAGAATATCTATGTCTCTCTTTTTCATGGTAATCATAACCTTCCCTTTCATCTCTTCTTCTTTCAAAGTCTCTATGATACCTATCATTATCATGCCTCCTATTTCTTCCTGAAGATCTTAAATTATCTTTTGATGAGCGAAAAGAGTTATCCCTAGACTTAGACGCTTGTGTTGTTTCATCTTGAGCTTTTGTCCTACATTTAAATCTGCCAGTTTCTGAGTCACTGCTTGATTCATCTGATAGCATAATAGTACCTGGAAATTAAAAAAAGAGGTGTTTTATTTATATAGGATTAATAACAAGAAATTATTCTAGTTAGAAACTGATTTTATTAAAGTACATTTTCTACATTTCAAAATATAACTAGGTAATTAATACATTTAAAACATTTTTGCTATTTTCTTAGCACTGTATCGGATTGACTTCAAGAATCCTGCAGTTGGTATTCCTTTTAATGATTGTCTTACACTAGATTGCCAGACTATGTCTTTAAGAATTTGTCTCAAAATGACAGCACAATCTATATCATACGCAACAGCTCTGAGTACATCCTCCATATCTTGCTGTAAGCCACCATGATTCCAAAATTTTACAATTCTTTGTTGTGGAACCATTGGTAACTGCATTAAGTGATGTAATTTTGTTTCTGGATTAATGTCTTGGTGGCATTGAGTATCACCAGTTGAGAAATCAACATAAACATGGAATTGTTGTAAGATTGGCCTATAAAGTTCACGAAAATTCAATAATTGGGGTTGTACTATATTTTTAACTTTATTTTTGTTTTCACCAAATGTCATTCTGAAATCACCAGCATAGCTTAAATTAGATATTGTGAAATAAAAATCATACTCTGAAAATGTTTCAGGTAAAATAAGTAAAGCTGTGTGTACTGCAGATCTTAAATTAGACTGTAGAGCATTCTGAAGTTGAGAGCTATTTGTCTGCTTAATGATTTCTACTGGTTTGTGAAGTCGACCAGCCAAATACAAATAGTTCCAATCAAGTAGATCTGCAATCAAGTCTTTCTGTGATACTATACCATACTTAATGGTTACATCTTCTTCTTTCATTTCAACTAAAGTGTTGAAGTAAACTTTAGCGCCCCAATTCTCTTGAAATCTTGCAACAAAGCCTTTCCCCAAAAAGCGAAGTGCAGAATAATGAGATGGATTCATTTCTATGTTTGCACTGTGCCATCTGTGTGAATTCTCAACACAATAGATCAGGTCAATCATATTATGTTTTTTCTGATTTCCCATCTGCGGTTTGACAGCTGACCCATACGCGAAGCAGAATGTGAAGTTTTGAGGAAACTTCGATAAGATTCTATAATACAAAGGGGAAACATCTTTAACTACACCTACTGTTTTAGCTACCGTAGATGTCATAATCAAAACTCTAAACCTGCTGTAGTTTAGATAAATATCTGCTGACCTGTAGTAAGTTTCTTTAAATCACGAGGTGTCGTTGGTTATGAATCATAACTATGCAGTTATTTTCTAGGATATGTCTTGGTTTGCAATGTATGCTGCTTATCACGTATGGTTGAACTTTAAATATGAAATTATATGTACAGTTCAAAACATTTCTTCTTCTTTTCTTATTCAAAACATTTTATTTTAAAGATTATTCCGCGTCAAACTCAATTGAGTTGAAAAACGACACTACACAGATTAAAAAAAATAATGTTCAAAATTAATGAACTATACTGTGCTACAGACTATTATTACAGATTACAGAATAGACAAGGAATTTTTCCCACTTAAGCCAAAAGAAACTACCTCTCGTCAAATAATTCAACTAACCCATTCCTATTGAAAGCGTTATAAAATTATACAAAACACGTATACATCCAAGACAAATTCAAGCGTCTGTTTTGTGATATCCCCGCCAAGCACTTGAAACCACATCAAGTAATTCATAACAGATTCCTCCGTCGCAAAACCGGTGCCCCGTGGTTAATATTTAACGCTGGATTGCATCGTCAACTTAAAATCGCCACTCTGTCTAAATAAATATTTATTCAAGTTTGTTGATTAAAGCATTTAGTTTCTATACTGCACCCCTCATACCGTGATGATTCTGAGATGGCGTGATTCTGCCTTAAACGTTTTAACGATTTCTGGAGACGAATTAACGCGCGCTTAAATTAATTTAACGCGTCCCACAGTGTGAGGCGATGATAGAGGCCCGAATAGCCCGAACGGCCCGAATGAACGACACTGCGTCACCGCCCTTGATGTGACTTACATAAACTGACCATACGTCCCGTTTTGAACGGGACTGTCCCTTTTCTCGGACAGCTGTCCCTTTGTCCCCGAACAAATCTTCGGGACGCAAAATTGTCCCGTTTTCCGAAACGGTGCGAAATTTTAAAACGACTCTCTTCAGACATGGTCATGAGCACCGCGGAACTGCGATCGGTTATTCCCGGTTATTCCCCGCATGCACGCGCTCTCGGTTACCTAGTAACGCGGTGAGGAGGAGAGGGAAGGGAACATTTATTTCTATCAATATGCTAGCCACGCGCATGTATTCTTCTGTAGAATTCTTTATGTTTTTGTGTAATGTTCGTTAAATAGTTTTGTAGATATTTTGAATTTTTTCCCATAGATATGCCGAAACCGGAAACCCAAGTGTTTATTTAATGTCAACCTACAAACAAAATACCCGTTTATTAAGCAAATTAACACTGCTTCGGATGTCAGATGCGAAAAGTGTCCCACAGTTCAGTGTTTCCCATAGTCGTGCTGGTGATATTGACATTTCCTCCGACAGTTCCTGGCGATGTTGATAACCAAGGACAACGTAAAAGAAACGTGGTAAATTTTATTTTTATTTAAAATCGTCACCTTCTTTATTAAAAAAAAAATTTGTTCCTCGGAGAAATATAAAAATATTCAAAAACATACTAATGTTGTTTTAGTAAAAATAGTGAACCGATGACTTTTTTTGTATCTTTTAATTTTTAATCTTTTTGGAATAAAGAAAATTAAAAAGTAATGTTTATTTTCATTGTAAATCAATGTCCCGTTTTGAGTTAGAAAAAAAAGTGGTCAGTTTAGACTTACACCGCATTGTTGTTCAAACATACGGGTACTTGCTTTCGCCGGCGAATGTGGGGTATCTGAGATCCCCGACAGCCTATATTTTTCATTAACATAGTAACGGCGTATCATTATTGCCAGTCAGCATACGAGGATAAAGGTGTAAGTTTCACTGAACAATTAATAAAGAAATTTTTAATTTCGTTCGTAGAAAGTTCGTAAGTAAGTTAACAAAACGCAAGGGTAAACATTAAATGTATCGAGGGTGAACTTAGAAAAACCACGCGTCGTTCAAGGCCAGTTGTACGAGTATGTAGCATGTTCGCGGGTGCGTGTGTGTCCAATGCCCAGAATCTTTACATTCTATCTCAAAAAGGTAAGACATATAATATCGTCTACAGTACCATATAAAAATAGTGTGCTCCGTTTTGTGTACCAAGCTGTATATGCCTGGAATCAAATCAAAAGAAAAAAAATTACACCTATCTGGAAAACAAATCACACTAATATACGCTTTTTACGTTAGAATTTGCTGTAAACTTATTTATCCATGCACCAGAAATGTGTCATGTAGAGTAAACAACTCAATGTCAATTCTTTTTGACTAAACGGGCGAATTACCGGGTAACAGCTAGTAACTATATCAAAGTTAAGTTTATGGTAAGAGAGAGAGAGAAGGTAACTCCAGAATATCTGAATTAAAAGAAAAAGTGTATGTATACTTATGTACACGCGTTAGAATTTATACTTATTTGGCGTAACAAGATAAAAATCTTTTCAAAAATTTTATCGTTCGGCTTCTTTCGCCCTTTATTCTACGTTTATAGAAAACCGACACTCACAATAGATAAAAGGTATTTAATACATTGAAAGCTTTTTTATAACGCATTATCTAGTTAAATAAAGTTTATTTAAATATCACATAATAAATATCATGGATACAGTTGTCAGTTCTCACGCAAACATACGCAGATGTCTAGCTATCTTCAGGATGTCGGTTTTTTATGATGGTGTGCGCGCGCATCATAAAAATTTACTCTCATCATTTTCTCTAACGCGCCAAAAGAAGTATAACTTTAAAAATTTAAGTCCACCGGTATAAGCTTGCACGGCTCTGAGCTTTGCATCACAGCATTGAAAACTGGTAATACATTATCGACTGTATATCGTTAACAAAAAGTTCACAGGACTGTTTTGTAAACGAACAATTCGATGGACGAGTGCGATAGATAGTCGAATTATTGCGTTCTCGACTATATTCTTATAGTCGTAAAATAAGAAATAAGAAATCCCATCAAGTAATTCGAAGACCGATTTTTGCAACGACTGTTTGAACCCAGGACGTATATTTCTAATTTTTAGTTTTAGATGTAATGTGTTTCGTCATAAATTATCCTGGCAGAATGTTCAAGTCAATTGCCATTACATTATCGATTCTATGGCTGCTAACTGCTTTGACAGTGACAGTTAGATTTGGGAAAAATAATTTCATTGATTGATGATTGCTTTAAAAATAAAAAGAATTTAAAAGAAGTTATCAAATAAAAGTATCGATTACACTTAGCACTAGCAGTGGCAACTTGGCAACTAAGATTTGTTTTGTCGGCGTATTGCTAATTTATTTTAGTTACAAAGTGTTGTTCGTACACTTTTTAGTTTTAAATATTGACAATTTTATCTATTTAAGCGAGTCAATTTGTCGCATTCACACATTGAGAAATATGACAAGTGCAGACAGAATTGATTTTGAAATGGAGGTAGAAGTGGAGAGTGCATCTTCCGGCCCGCCCGTTGATGTTCCTAACCCAACATCGCCAGCACCTCCAACTCCTGGTGCCACCAAAAGTGTAGTCGTGACGACTGCTTCTGCTGGTTCTGTTACAGTTTCCTTGCATCCGTTAGTAATCATGAACGTTTCAGAACATTGGACTCGTCTTCGTGCACAAGAGGGTTCACCACAGACTGGTTAGTTGATACTTAATCTGTACAAATGATAATAATGGTAGTTTTAGGTTATGGTTTATGTTTCGGTACCGCATTCTTTATTTACTTACAAAGAATTTTATTCAATAGAGAAATCTTTTCATTGAAATATAATTAAAAAGAAAAAAATGAGTGGAAACCGCCAGTATAAGAAAAGTAACACCAAATCATCTAATTTTACATCAAGTAAATCTATCATTACTTTACACACAACAATAATTTAAAAATATGTAGTTATTACTTGCATTACTATTACTTTTGTTGTGTAATTATTCTAGTGTTGTATGTGGTTTTCTGAAATATAAATATTTGTAAGTAAATAACATGTGGTCTCCAGCAAATCTTTACCATGTATATGTATAAATTTATTTCACTGTGTAATTATTTTTTAGTAATTGGTGCTTTGATTGGCAAACAAAAAGGTCGAAATATTGAGGTCATGAATTCTTTCGAATTGGTATTTAGTATTATTGATGGGGATATAATTATTGATAGAGATTATTACAATTTAAAAGAAGAACAATGTAAGTATTTTTTTTGTATATATAATAAATTCAAACATTTCCGAAAGTAATTTAATTTTTTTTATGTTTTATGTCTTATTTAAACCATACATTCAAAATATTTCATTATATGATTGGCCAAATGTGTCATTTGTCAAATGTGATTAAAATACAAGCCATATTATGCTTTAGCATCCTTGTTGCCATTTTTTCTTCATAAAAGCAAAGTAGATAGGTAGAGGAAAGTGTAAAGTGTGTCTTCTGTTTATTGAGTATAAAATCATTGATTACAGTCAAACAAGTGTTTTCTGATATGGACTTCCTCGGATGGTACACAACAGGTGATACACCAACAGAGCGTGATATTGCAGTCCATAGACAAATTTGTGATATAAATGAATGCCCTGTCATGTTCATGTTAAATCCAGCAGGTAGAAATGGAGAGGTAACTCTGTTATCCATTTTAAAATTGTTGCCTGCATTCTGATCAAGAATATACTTTAATTTTATAACTTAATTTCTGACCAAATGTGTTATGTAATCAAAAAAAACGTATTATCCAACTGATGATTTCAGAATAGCAGTAAGTAACAAAATGTATGAAAAAGTGTACCTTTTAAAATGGTACAGAAATGCAAAATTTTATTTCTAATATACAGAAAAACTATAACTCACTTAAAAAAAACTATAACTCAAGAACTATAACTTAACTATAGATTTTTTTTTTAATTTTTATTTTATTGTTCAAATTTAAACAACTATAAATTAAGAAAAACTATAACTCAAATAACAGAACTTTTACTATAACTCACTGTTATATGCGGTATATGTTATTTACTTTTGTTTTTGCAGCAATTACCCATAGTTTTATATGAATCAGTAATAGATGTTGTCAATGGTCGTGCCACAATGCTTCTCGCTCCACTGACATATACACTAGCTGCTGAAGAAGCAGAAAGAATTGGAGTAGATCATGTTGCGCGAGTATCATCAGGAGAAGCAGCTCTTAATAGCTTAGGTATGTTTGTAAAGTCATCTATCAAAAAAAAATATCAAAGCTCCTATTTGCAATGGAGGCTCTTATCCAGTTTTGCGTGCCAGATTTAATTGATGACTAAACATGTCAATATCATCAATCATCTCGTCAATTTCTCCTAAAATATGAATTTGTACAATTAGGCTCACACTAGATTTGGTACATATAAAATTTTTTTTTTTTTCATAAGTTGGAACTCTAGATATATCATCTTGAAGGAAAGCTGATTCTCCTTTATCCTGCTCTTATACCACCCATGTGGGGTCAGCACAACATGTGAACTGTCAGGGGGTGGTTTGTGGAAAATTTTGTTCGTAACTGTCCTGAGCAAGCTTAGCAACCGCACCGTGTTGTCAGTGGACAAACGTTCGTCGTTCACGACTGTCCGCAGCTAGCTTAGCAACTGTCGCCCGTGTACAATTTCGCTAGCGACTGTCCACAGTGGCGGAGCACCTCACGGCGCAGCGGTCCGCCATAAAGATGCTAGTGTCGCGCGTGCGCGCTGTGCTGGCGACTGTACGCGCGATCCGGGACGGCGTGCTGCCGCCGCGGCCGGCCCTCCTGCGCGAGGCCAGGGCCCTCGCGAACCGGCTGCCGCTGCTCACCTCGCAGCAGTTCCGCACGCACTTCTACAACGTGAGTGTTACCATGGAACGGGCTGCAATGTAGGCGCCAGCGGACGTCTTGAACGAGTCCATTGTCTTTGGCGGAGAACATAATCAACTTCAAATATCTCACTCGCTTCACGTTTTATATGACCTTGAGGAGTTCTGATGTGTGGACACTCGCAGTTCCCCTGGTTGCTGCTGATACTTAAATAATTTTGTATACTTATATAATTAATAAATAATGACAAGACCGCAGAGTTTCTTTTCTGGACAGGTCTAGTTTGGTGGACCGGTGGTAATTTTTTGACGTTCAATAAGAGCTTAAAATAAAGAAATTTGGACTTTGGTGCACCTCCAGAGGTCAAGGTCCATTACCAATAATATTAATATGATGGTATCCACATGGAACTTAAGCCTTACTCAATGCTTTTAAAATCGGAGTTCCGAGTTAGCAAACTTAAAAGAAATACTATCAAATTGAGAACCTCCTCCTTTTTTGAAGTCGGTTTAAAAGCGGCATAGGCGAGGAAATGTTCGTGCATGTCCACTTTGTTGTATTGTGCGGTAAATATTCCTTGCCGCTCACACCTTGAAGAGACCTAAAAATCGGACACAGGATATAAGGTTACTTTTTACGAACATGTAGGTATAGCTGTGTTAATTATGTATAAATTTTCCTTTCAGCAATGCAACGACGTGGCTCTCATGACTTACTTGGGAACAATCACCAAAGGCTGTAACGGAATCAACCAACTAGTTAATAGGTTCAACGTGCTCTACGACAGGCAAGGAATGGGCCGCCGCATGAGGGGACTTTTCTTTTAGGGTGGCCGTTAATATTGTATAAAACTGTAGATTTCCAACGTGGCATAGAGACAACGGAACATTAACTGTGTGTAAAGTAACATCTTTTGTCCTACTTCTTCCGTTTTGTCTATGCTGTTAACAATTTTTTCTATTAGTTTTGCAACCGTATCGTAGGTTGCGAGTCTAATTTGTTATTTAAAGATCTAGTATTGCCGCCGCTCATAAGAGAATGGATCGTAGTTATTTCTGTAAGAGAGATAGACGTCTTTTTGCTTACACCGGTACCAAGACCTGCGCTTACGACCCCATACGGCTAAATGTAATACGTATGCATTTTAAATACACCACACTTTGTTTACGCATGAAATAAAGGAATATACAGAGATCAAAAATATTATTTTTACATTAAGAACTGTTTTATCCCGAGAATATGTTATTCTTCAATTATATATATAAATAAATAATATAACATAAACAACAACATATAACAAAAATTTGTCAAAATATCAACAATGTAACACTAGCTCGTTAATCATTCAATCATAGATTATGAATTTTTCTTAACTTAGGCCCTTCCATCTTAACTTAGGCCCTTCCGTGATAATTGCAGGAGATCTAAACTGCAAACACGGCTCATGGGACACCAACAGCATCCCAAATAACAACGGAAAGCATCTCTTTAGCTTATCCGATAACCTAAACTTTAGCATAGTCGCTCCTGCGACTCCCACTAGGTATCCTACGGTGGACAACTACCAACACGCGTCACCGAGTGTCCTAGACATCATGTTATTCAGGGAGGTCTCGCTCGACATCGAGTCGATAGAGACAATCCATGAACTAGACTCAGACCACAGGCCCTTCCTGTGTAAAACGGGCCAGAACGCCGGCGCGGTCCCTCCGACCAAATCCGTAGTGGACTGGCATCGTCTTGAGGTCAAACTCAAGGCCTTGGACCCCCAGGACTTAGTAGACTTACCCGAGACGATAGCTACGTTCGATGACGCAAATCGAGCGATAGCGAGTCTTCGAGAAACTATTACTTCCGCAGTCACAGACTCGGAACGGACGGTGAAACTGTCGGGCGACCGACGGTTTAACTTTCCGCCCGACCTAAGACTGCTAATTAGACAGAAAAATGCAGCCAAACGCGCCTTCGATCGATACCGATCGGAATCGAACCGAACCCTACTTCGACGCCTTCAGCTAGAAGTCAAAGATCGTGTATCGGAACACCGACACACAACGTGGGACATTCTCCTAGAGAACATCGAGCCATCGCACACCGCACCGGCGGTTGGCCCGCAGTCTGAAAGCAGACCCCCGCGAATCTCTACCGCCTTTAGTTAGACCTAATAGCGCTTCAGTAGCCCTAGATGACTCCGAAAAAGCCGAATGCCTTGCGGACAACCTAGAGCAGCAATGTACGCCATCGCGCGAACACACCGATTCAGTCCACCTAACGGAGGTGGACCACGTAATCGAGACTAGGGCTGCCCTTCCACCGGAAGGCTAACCTTTAAATTCAGTGACCCCCGAAGAGGTCCAAGATATTATTAAAAATTTAAAAACAAAATCCGCCCCGGGCCCAGATAATATAAGTAATAAAATTCTCAAAGCTCTCCCTGGGCCGCTTATCTGTTTACTGGCGACCATTTTCAATACCCTTCTCTCCAATTGCTCCTTTCCGGACGACTGGAAGCAAGCCACGGTTATCGGCATTCGCAAGCCGAATAAACCAGCTAATCAGCCCTATAGCTATCGTCCCATCAGCCTCCTCAGTTGCTTGGGGAAGCTCTACGAGCGGCTCTTGTTAAACAGGCTCAAAGAGCACGTATTTTCCAACGGCCTTCTGCCGTCGGAACAATTCGGCTTTCGAGCTAGACACTCATGTCCCGACCAGTTATACCGCCTAACGGAGCACATCCTAAAAGGCCTAAACCACCCCAAACACATCAGCACAGGGGCTCTCTTCTTCGATGTCGCAAAAGCATTCGTTAGATTCGAAGTCTGGCACAACGGTTTGCTTTACAAGCTGTACACACTCAAAGTGCCAGATAGGCTCGTACACACCATCCGGGCCTTTTTGTTGAATCGCTCTTTTCGATATCGAGTCGAGGGCACCCTCTCCACAAGCCGCCGCCTCACGGCCGGCGTACCACAAGGCTCCTGCCTCTCACCTTTGCTCTTTACGCTCTACACGAGCGACATACCCAAAGACCCCCACGTCAATCTCGCGCTTTTCGCGGATGACACCGCGCTCTTTTATTCAGACCGCAACCTTAGAATACTAACCACTCGACTCCAAAGCGCCGCCGACCGCCTCGGCGATTGGTTCCGCAAATGGAGAATAGAAATAAATCCCGAAAAGAGTGTGGCGATTCACTTCACACTAAGTACCTACCCGTCACATCTTTATAATGGCCCTCGCCAATGCAGAAAGTTGGGGCAAATATCCCTTTATGGCCAACCGCTCCCCTGGGAGAAAAAGGTCAAATACTTAGGAGTCACTTTCGACTCGCGTATGTCATTTACTACGCACATTAATAACGTTCGTAATAGAGCCGCGTTCGTCTCCGGCCGGCTAAACAATTTAACTAATGCTAAAAGTAAAATGCCCTTAAGGCACAAATTATTATCATATAAGACCTGCGTACGACCTATTATGTCCTACGCATGCATGATCTTCGCCCACACGCACCCTACTCGCTTGTACAAGTTGCAAATAGTACAAAATAAGTTTATCCGCCGCGCAACCGGTGCGCAGTGGTATCAGCGCAACGTCGACCTGCACAGCGATTGCAGACTCCCGACGATTCGCACACATTTTAAAGATTTGACAAAACGGTTCTTCGATAGAGTCCAGCATCATCCTAACCCTCTGGTGGTAAGCGCAGCAAACTACCAACCGGACACTAACGCGAACGTAAACAAGCGTCGCCCGCGAAACGTCCTCATCGACCCGATCGACGAAGAGGACTTAGATACGATGGACCCACCGCCGGGGGTCCCGCCGGATAACACTACACCCACAGTTAGTGTAACAACAATCACACCAGTTCGCCCTCGCCTCCGAGCACGGCGAGACCAACACAACGCGTACACAAGGTACACCCGCGTTCCGGGGCGGTTTTCACCGCTCCCAGCCACCGATTAGCTAAATGCACAGTCGACGGCCGTCGGGGTCTCGGTCCGAACCGCGACCTCGACGGCCCTTAGATGACACACCATAATTAAACGCACGCATGAGCACATGCGCGACCCTACCCATAGCGGATGGGCCAAACCCGTGGGTTCTGGCTAGCCCACCGGTTCTGCGTCCGATGAAGCTTTAATAGTCTCGGGACTGAAAGCAAAAACATCAGTTAATACAAGATACAAGAAGATTATTAATTTTTAAACTAGTTCCAAATGATACGTTTTTTTTTATTTATATATGGTACTTAAATTCAAATATTTCGGTTTAAAATTTATAAAAATGGACGAAAAGGTTTTCGTCGCTGCGAGGAATTCCTCGACTGATAATTTTTAAAATCTGGATGTATTCTACTTTTATACATGAAGATATCATTCTTTAATAGATATTACCATACGAATGTCATTTATAAATAATTTGTTAAAAAAACGGAAATGTTATTAGTGTTAGGTCTCCTAGATATTTACCATAAATAGATATTTCAGACCGTTGCGTTACCCTTCAATAAAGACATTCATTTATTCATAACGTACTACTACGCCTGTTTAGCTGTTGTTGACATCGTTGCTGAAGCTATGATGAACTTAGTATCCACCTATTTCCAGTAAGAATTTACGGCATTACTTACTATTTTCAAAGCACACTCACAATAGAGAGAATTATCCCGTCTCGATGGCACAACGGATTCGTTACGAAGTTAGATCAGTTAGATATGCAAAGTAGCAGAAACGTTTCTGAATGAGTCGTCTAATGGTAATGGCCCGGTGACTGGTGACCATTTAACTTCTAGACTAGAATTATTTATTGACCTCCATCCTTTTCTTGTAGGCACCCCTAGTACACCAACTAAGAGGATCACCTCATCGTTTGTAATACAACATTAATTTATGCATTTATTTCTCTCCACAAATAATACAACCATAGCAAATACTACACAAATGATAAAATAACAAATTTGGTCTTTGGGAGCTTGTGCTTGTGCTAAGTTTTCACTTGTGTTAAGTATCACCAGGTCCTATCATTGCACAATTTGAGCATTGAAATGCGTAACTGCAAGTTAAAAACATGTTTTTTTAATAATAATAATATGCATTTAAAGCATAAGAATCTTTCGTCAAAATACTTGTTTTCAAGCATCTATCTCATATTTTAACATTTTCATTTACCATCATAATGGTAGTCAAGCACTGGCTAGTCCTAGTCTCTGTTAAAAAAAATCACACAGGAATAAACACTGTTGGAATTATCAAGTTGTTGAGTAATTAAAACTACGAAAGTTCTTGATGATATTTGCGATGCAAGATTGGGCTAATTTGCCCTATCAGTTTACGTGTGCTCTGTAGACAGGTTTATATTATTATTTTATTTATTTATTTTATTTTAAGACTTCATGCACATATTATTTATGGTATAAAAAGGGTATAAGGGGAAAAAAAACACGGACTTTGACGCAATAATTTATTGTTGACCCTCCGGTAGATAATAGATATATCTATAATATATTAATAACAAAACTTTGGACACATTGAGATTCGAACTGTGGAAGACTAAGATGTTGTCTAGATTATATACGCGGGAATCTCGTCATCCATGTATTTTACCCTGCGACTTGGATGATGGTGTCCAATAGTGGATCTATTATAAAGTGTATTGAAATACTCAATTAACGAATTTATAATATCTTTTTAATTTACCTAACTAGGTACGCTTTAGATCACTTTTTTTTAGCAATAAACATAAATAACTTAGTGCACTTAAACATAATAATGACATTGAGACGCAACCGTGCCAAAATAATATGGATTGGTTTATAGTACTACAATTACATTTTCTTACTTTAATGAATGTTAATTCAACGTTTTCATCAATCCTTTCTTTACAAGAGATTATAAATACATTATATTTCATACAAAACTTAAGGAACTTTTGCGTCATTTCTTTTGTTTCGCTGGATATAGTCTAACCCAGCGTATTTATTCTAAATGCGAAATTGTTCAAAAGTTCGTTACAATAGTATTTAAATAGGTAAAAGTTATAACTGCTTTTAACTTGTAAATCGTCCTTAAAAGTTTTTATTATTAAATCGATCTTTATAAAAACCTACTATTGTTATAAATATTTTTATATTACACTTGTACTGATAACTTTGTACAAAAATATTTCGTTAAGTCTGTTTAGTCGTACTTCGAATCGTTATAATATTGCTTTTAGGTAACACTATGTTATAAATACTATTTTAAATTGCACTAATATTGAGTAAATAAGACACAGCTGCTGAAATCACATTCCATACAAATATAACGAATAACGATGTTACAATGGTACAAAATACGAACGTTATTACATGTTTACGCTTGAAGTTATAAATGCATAAATACTCAGTACGAATATTATATTCAAACTTCGCTGTCAAAAACGTAGACATCTTTGAAATCGGGATGCTATTTTATAGATAAATCTTTGACATCTTGACTCAATAAGTATAAAACATTTCTTGATCCTTTATATTACGAGCATATCTTGTGAAGTAAAATTATAATTTGTATATTTTTAACGTACGAAAGACAGCAATGGGGCTTTTTAGCCTTTACACCCTATGTTTAATAATATAGATGACGTATGTCTATACTGCGCGGCGTTTAAAATTGTTCCGCTTTACATTATATGACATATATAAGTGAATGTGACAGATGACATAGGACGCATGATATGGAAAGAGAAAACAGTCTGTAGAAATGCAATCTAATTACTCCAATTGGTGTAATTCCAGTGCCTCAAATTCGGTGCGCTAATGGCATATCTTTGTGTATAATATCATTGTTTAGACCGCTTTCAAATGTTTCTTAACGTTTTTGACATATCGTTACGTGATTTTATTGTGTATTGACTCCAATAGTTTACGTTTGGCATGATATCAGCATTAATCTCAAGCTGTCGACGTCTCAATTAACGTCGACTCTCACAAAACTCATCAACAGTCGTCTGCTGTCTTCTCGATGCCGATTAATTCGTCGAACAGCGAGTGGTTATCCGGGATGACGTGGGGTTCGTGTAGGATTTGACGTGCGAACTTCAACACTGCCCGCGTAAGCTGACCCACCGTCCATTTTCTGTCCACCAGCACTCTCACCAATGTATCCAGCTGTGCAGCATAATACCTTTTAATATAAACTCTTCTATCCACTCTTCAAGTGCTTTAATAATTAACAAATGATGTATCATAAGTGAATTATTTTTTTCGGGACTGACAAATGTTTTGTAACAAATTATTAATGAGGCAGGTTCTTTTTTTATTGCGACTACTTTTACTCAAGGCATTTTCAAGTAAAGAATGTTCCATTTTTTAAAATGTATAAGATTTCAAAGGTCATATGATTTTATTACAAGTATAATGCAGGTATATTTCTAGTCCAAGGGATGTTCTTGAAACCTTATGCTAGCTTTTACGTGACCCTAATATTGCCAGTTATATATACTCGTACGCTACGATCGGCTAGGATGCCGACTTGGCGACATTCTAATTTACTACAAAAGTTCCAAACCATTGGAAAAAAAGGATTTCGATGTTTTAGGTACTACTAGATAAGTGTAAGGTAAATTTACTCTTTGCATACTAACGATATTAATATTCATTCCATAGTATATACATATGTGCATCTAGTTTTTACCCACATTAAAATACATCACGTAACTCGTTAAATGATTTATAAATTAGCCTTCGTAAACAACGTTTTCGAACCTAGATTAAAATCTCGGTGCCTCACCAATTGTTAAATGCAATTTTAAGTGCCGATTTTCCACATGCTTAGCGTTGAAAGAATCATTGCGAGGAAATTATTTCAGGAATATCAAAAGAGGTGGAATTGAAGTCCGCTAATTTAGGTAAAAGGGTTGATCCCTTAATAAAATCTTTGTTTTACGTTCGATGTTTTTGTTAGACTTTATGCAATTTTTTTTTTATGGAGAAAAGGGGCAGACGAGCAGGAGGCTCACCTGATATAAGTGTTTACCGCCGCCCATGAACACCTGCAACGCCCGAGGGCTTACAAATGCGTTGCCGGGATGTGATGTAAAGCAACACTTTTTTTTTCTTTCTTGAACATTGCCCTTACTTTAGGATAACATTATCCTGTGTTGTAAGGACGTTTTACAAACAAAAATTTCACGTGGACAAACACTCTGATGCGAAACAACTACCCTGTGGGTCACACAAAAAGTTGTCCCGTGTGGGAATCGAACCCACGACCCCCGACGCCGAAGCCAATACCTTGGCGACAGCGCCATGGAGTCATCACACTGGACACAGGCTTTCCCTGTATGGATTAAGCCTTTGCCCCGCAGTTGGACGTATGGCCCGACACCACACAGTTCCCCACGGTTACCTTAAACAGTTTCTCATTTCCACAAGTGTAGTAAATAAGTGCGGGAACACCGGCGACGCTCGCGGCAAGCCACTGCAGAAGCAGCTTGAGCTGCGGGTGGCCGCGTTGCCTTCGGCCGCAGCCCCAGTTGCCAGTCGCGACCGGTCGGCACGACCCGCCCGATACGATCTTGTTGGCCAGCTCGTTCAGCTGGAATCCACTTCCGAGGTCACTCGAGGACTTATTGCTAATGCCAATTATAGTTGTACTAACGGTCACACTTATTAAAAATTAAAATCTTGCCAAAGACAATGAAGAATGTGCGCATAATTTCAATTAGTGCTGGCCATTCGGAACGTTCATTGTTGTATGTGGAGAAGACTTAATGAGTGTAATAGCTTTGATTATTTACGAAATTACGAACAATAGGGTTCCAAATGATCTTAGTTTTTGTATCAACAATCATAATTTCATAAATAGCTGGTTTAAATAAAAAAATATGTTGAAGATAAAATCTTAGTTACAATGAACATCCATTTATATTGGCTGAAGTTAACAAAATACGTAGTACATACATGAATATTTTTTATGACGCACCTATACATATATTTTAATATTTTGATTTCATATTTATTTGACCGCTCGGATAACGGAGCCGCAATAAATGGATGTTGTATTATAAAAATGAAGGTCCAAGCAAATTGCTCAACACACCTTTCGTGAATTAGAATTACGTCTAGCAACTAGGTTTATATTTTCGTAACAGTCAGAATTGTTTCACAGTACTTTTATTTCCAACATAATATAATTTATGACTAGCTGCCGATTCACTCAATATTTAATTTTAACTTGCAAGCCTTGTTACGGATATAGCACACTGGCTTAATCAATTAAGCTTTAAAAGGATGCTCATGTAGTTTGTAGTTAGTAATGCAAACGTGTTAAAAGTTCAGTATTAGCGACAGATAGACGCACTTCTAACCTTAGGTTTCTTTATAGCAACAGTAACGGGTTCGCATTCGACTGTCTCTTCTATCGTCTCTACTATCATGTTCACTACCCAATTTAGCTTTTTCTTTTTTAAATTAGGGTTGGACAACTGCGTTGAAGATGTCTCTGTGGACGAGTCCAGTGACTTAGATCCATTTGTGTCAGAACTATTGTCGCCATTTGTGTTCCTCTCTCGAGTTTTCTCTAATATCTCTTCTGGGATTGATTGCTTTATTTTACGTCTCTGTCAAAACATAGCAATAAACTTATTGAATATCAACATATGTATTCAAATTCAAGAATTCAGGCGAGCTTTGTGAATGCTTCCGTATGTTAAGAAAGATTTGTGCAAAAAGATCCGTGCGTTTTAAACAACAAATTAATGGAAATATTATTCTAGATAATCCATTTCAATTTTTAAATGATGAGAATTTTATTTCGTACATTTTCAAGAACTGTCTTTTAAATATATTTCACCGGCGACAAAGAAATGCTACCAATTCATTTTCACGTGGCGTTAGATCAAAGAAGCGTTTGCTAAAATACTTCAGATAGTCTCCCTAATCCGGAGATACAAACTAACTATATTTACATAATATACAATTAGTTACGAGTAATATTTTCTAAAATTAGTATACGATGAAAACAGCTATTAATTCTTTTTTTTTTGATAAGCCAGATACATCGATCAAGGTTACCACGATGAAATTAGTGTCGAAGTAGCTTTGGAATCTATTCCGTCAGAGAAAACTTCTTTTCAATACGGCTTTACGTTGTTAGTTGGACTCTCACGCTTCAACAACATTAATTCGCATTTATATACAACAGTAGAAAAAATAAAGTAAAAAAAATTAAGGAAAATCATTAATTCGCATTTATATACAACAGTAGAAAAAATAAAGCGCGAGACTTAAGCAGAGTTACACGAAAAAGACAAACGGTGTAAATCTCATTGCGTACTGAACGAATTGCTGATTAAGCTTCACACTAGGCTTGTTCAATCTGTAACATGCAATCGTACGCAATGGAACACTTTTGATTTGTTTTCCGGGGACATAGATGTTGTTGTGTTTGAAGCGACAGTTAAATTCAAAGTCCAATTAACGCGAAACTATACATAAAAATAAATGCAGTTTAAGGTTTAATTGAAAAATGTGTGTATATTGAAACTTTAAAAAGTTCATAATTAGTCAGTCGACTTTTATAACACAAAGAAATTTTAGACAAATGTAGTTACATATTATTTTTTATTACTTTGAATCCCAAAGTTGTGGTAATGACCGATACTTATATATTCCTTTTATCACAACTATTGACCATCTTTCATCATGTTCACACGAAAGGTATGAGCTATATTGATAATTTACTAATCTCGTGTGAAAATCATATTATAACGTTTCACTATGCTTAGTGCATGCGAAATTCGCACTGCACTAACAGAATCAAATAGTATTTACTAAGCGATTTATATAAATACCGACTATGGAGCTTTATAAGCATATATTGAATCAGAAACATAAGAGGGACCAGTTGGACGCTGAATGAACTTATTGTTTTATCCAACGTGAAACTTTTCTCTATGTAGTGTAGTGGCCATCATTAGAGTTTACGTCGTCAGTACGCACTACTTTGACATTGACGTGGCATTTGGCGCTTAGTAACTAGTTTATTGTAGGGCCGAAATGGTTCTGTTTCGTTTGATGTCAAAACGATGACCTACCTCTCGCGCGCAGACGCGCGGCGTATCGGTGCCGACGGCGCGAGTGTCGGTCGACATATAAAGCGTTCAATAAACTAGTTACCAGTAGAACAGAAACGTTATTATTTCGTCGGCTGTCGAAAGAGGGACGATCTAATCGCTAACACTGACCAGATGGGCGGCGAGTCGGTGCCGATGGCGCGCCAGTTCCAGCGACAGGGAGCGCGCGGCGAGCGCCAGGCGGCGCGGCGTGGCGCGGTCGCGGCTGTCCCTCCCGTAGAGCTCTGCCGCCTCCGCGCCCCCAGCGCCGCTCGCCATGGACTCGCTCAGTGTACGTTTGAGCAACGAACCAGCGAACCTAAGGGGCGAGTGAAAAAAATGCAAATAAAGCGCTTATTGAACTCGTACGCCGAGTGTTTACCATCTCACGTAATAATGGTGGAAAAATAATCATCACAGTTTTCTCAGGAACAGGTGGATCTGGGAAGTTGAAATTATATATAAATATAATACAGAACAGATACTGACGTCTATAGTCCCTAATAGGTGTATAAAAATCAAGATCCTGTGTCAAGATAAAAAGATATAGGCAAATTTAGATTTTCACGAAGACGTAAGTACCAAAATTTACCTTTTTTTTCAACTTTTTTTATTTTTCGGAATTTTTCCTTTACTTGTGCTATGTGCTTAATTATATATATCTCACTGCTGGCCAGGTGTCCGCCGCGGATGGAAGAAAATAATCCTTCAAAGTATGTTTTTTTGATGTGAAATTTTTAGATATTGGACAAAAACTTTCGGCGCTGCGGGATTCGTCGTAGCGTCTTCCAGTTGTCCGACGCTTTACCAACTATGCGTGGTAGCCGATGATCTCACGGCGAGAAAATCTCGACATCTATCTACGTTATTTATTGCATTATATAGCAATTTTTGACGTCTAGTGTGCATACTTTACAGTATATAACACTACAAAGAAAATTTACGGATGAACATTTGTAACGAGACATCTCTCGGTTTGCTCGCCTTTACTCTTTAATTATTAAAAAATGCCGGTTTCCCCATGATGTTTTCCTTCATAGATAAGTACGTGATAAATTAACATTTAAAATTTCTACAAAAAATTTTGGTGGCTTCGCACCGTGATTTCAACTAAGGTTGCTCGAGTGTATAGAATTAAAAGGGAGTGTCATGGCACTGAGCTAGAAGGGGCGACGGCCTTTCCTTTATCATTCAGATATTCGTAATTTTACTTTTCTTTTTCATACGTGAAAGTGGCAGTTCCGCGAGTCTAAGAAGGAGTGCCACGATAAAATAAGCTTAATTTATCTATGCGTTTGAAGTATAAGGAACTAAATCTAATTCAGTTTTTTTTTTTAAATCACGATTACTTCTAAGACAGATATTCTGCTCTTGAAACGCTATACTTAAGGCTAGCCAAGGGCTTTTGGCGTGTGAAACATAGTCCAGAGGGGCCTAGTATCCTTTTGCATCGGACCCAAGGAGACGGATGTGCTGCTGATTATAATTAGAAAGAGAGTGTTGTTTTCACATTAATTTATAGAATTTTCAGATGGAAAAATATATACGTCTATCAGTAATAAAGCGCTCTATTACAATCTATTACAATTTTTGGTAATATTGTTAACCGTATAATAATGTGCATAAAGTGACTTCTGAAAATAATTCAATAAAAAAATAATTCTAATTACCTTATCACTGCCATATCCCTCGGATCTAATTCTCGACTTTTATTATCCTCTATGGCGTTTTTGCCAATAGGGTCGTTGAGCCAGTGGTTAAATTGCTCGTAAACTTCTTCTAATTCAGATCTGTAATGATAAGCATGAGTAAAATTAAAATGTCAAGAAAGAATGAATCAGCCTTTAATTAACTGGTTCGTTTGCCGCATAAGACTTGCTTTCCTGCATTACACCAAACGGGTAGGAATTAAGCTGCAGTTTATTATTGCAAAAAATATACCACTGTCATTAAAATACAAAAGAAATGAAACGAAATTATCGCTCGTTATCTATGATAATTCTTGTATCTTGTATTAACTGATGTTGTTGCTTTCAGTCCCGAGACTATTAAAGCTTCATCTGATAATTGCTAAAGCTAAAGTAACTAGAGTCAACTCACGTGTATTCTGTGCTGAAGCTATACTTGGAGCTATTGCCGGTTTCCTTTCTCTCGAGTGGTCGTGGAGTTGGGGATATGTTGCCATTGTCGAGGATTTCCTTTTCCGTCAGCACGAAGCCCACGGAGCTGCCGCGTTTCACTCTGTGCCAATCAATAAGGCTCCTCAAATTTCATATCAGCAATGACGTTTATAGGGTTTTAAATGTTTGTGGAAGATGTACGTGGGTGCGTTTTAAAGTCGTGACGTGGAATGGCGGGGCTGGAGGGTGGTAGCAGGCTCGTAAAGGGTTTAACGTGTTCAATGAAATATAATTAGTATCAATGTAGAGTTTTTTCACAATTGTATCATAACTTTTCGAACTGTCGACGAATAAATAGCTGGATTTGGAGGAAAGTTTTATGTCGCCGGTCGAATATTCTAAAGTGTTTTTGGACCTCTGTGGTCAAGACAAGGATGAGGCACTGAACCGAATTCTTAGTGCGGATGAAAATTGAGTTCATCATTTTGGCATAAAAATGTTGCAGCCCCTTCTAAGAAATTTCAGGTGTCACAGGTGACAGTTTTTTGGGATTAAATCCCAAAAGTAATTTGTTCGGTCATGCTGCGTTAACTACTCAACCGATCGGAATAGTAATCATATCATAAGATAAGCAGAGGAGGAGGTTTCATTATATTATATGTCGTTTTCGGAGGTTTTATTATATGATGTTCGTAATTACTTATCCGAAACGTATAATTTTTCGACTTACAAAAGATGGTATAACCCAGCGAAGTGGATGGGGGGCGGCTAGTGTTGAATAATCCGTCAACTTAACAGTCCGACAGAAAAAGCGCCGGACCGTTTGACGTTAGCTAAAATGACGCCATACTTAACACTAGCCCTGAATGTTCGATATTGTTTGGCGTACACAAAAGTCACGCTCTAGGTATTGCACTGTTTTTACCTAGCATCGTTGTCGTTCGCATCCGCGCAGGGAATGCTGACGCCGGCCGCGTAACTTGAGCTGTCTGTGGACCAGTCGCCCGTGGTGCTGGTGGTGCAGGAGTTCTCCGCCTCGCGGCGCAGCGCCTCGCGGAGTCGCTCTGCAAAACTCAGCCTCCGCTCCTCAGTCGACAGCCCCTTAGAGTATTGCAAAGAATTAGGGCGGGCGCTCTCACCTCTGCCTTCGTCCTCGCTACCACCTGAAACGAAGCGGATATGTAACGTATTACTAGATTGCCCACACAAACTTTGCAACTGCAACCCAATGAAATAAATATGAGAAATTCTATTTTTTTTTTAGTGCCAGTCTTCCCTCAAGATGAAACTTAACATGTGTAAATAAATTATTGAAAATTTTTATTGAATTTTTAACAATGCCATACACTAGTACAATCTTTATAACAAACACACTTTCACAAATGACGTTTGTACAATGAGCTGTTGTTATTTTTAATATTCAAACTGTGTCCTTCTTCCAACGTTTCTTTTAACAGCATATAGAGAGAGCTACTCTATTCGATCGCATAGATTGAAACTCACCGTTATCGAAGCTGCCGTTAGCGCTGTGGTATTCGTCGTCACTGGAGTTGCAACTTGAGTAGAGGCTGTCCTCTTGGGTGTCCAAATTAATCAGGCCTGGGCTTCTAGTCACTGGAAGACATTCACCGGAGGAGCCGAGCACTATGAACCGCCCGCGACGGTTGTTCAAAGTGCCTCCGTCGGGCGACAACCAACATTTCCGCTTGGTTAGTTCCACGCCTGCAAAATGGTCATTTGGATCATTGTTTTGCGGGGAATTTAACTAAGATCGCATTTATAGCGTTGGAAATTTTAGCAAATCAAATTTTTTTTTCTTTAAACTTTTTTACGGTTTAACGAGATAATTAAAGGATTGAACTCACGTCCAATAGGTGTATGAACCGACTAGTTTCGGGCCTATCAGAGGTCCTTCATCACCGATTGGACATGGGTTCAGTCGTTTAATTATTATGTAATAATGTCTCATGTAAGTTTTAATATTTTTTTTTGTATCGAATATGAAGTCCAGTAAGAGCGAAATATTATCTTCAGAGATATATTACGATTGATTTAAATTTTGAAATGTAACCTTGGAATGATCTGTAAAAAAACTTCGTTATGAATTTAATTAACAGTCACTTCTTAACATTGAATAATAGTTATAAAATCGGGAGATAGAGATAGTATGTAGATGAAATTGAATTTTCATTTTTATTAAAATATAAAGCGTGATAACCACTTACTTGGATCGTTTAAATTAAGGGTGGCTGCGCAGTAAGTTTGCGGAGATGGGCTTCGACTGTTGCAACTGTTTATAGTACTGCAGGACGAAGCCTGCTTTATCATTACAGTCGCCTCCACTTCAGGGGTATGGCTCAACGATTCGCCTGAAATAAAATTAATACTCTCATTTGGTAGTACTTTTATGAGTTTACTATTTTCGTTTGATGTGATCTTGATGTGAATTGTTTTTAGAAGAAATATTAATTAAAAGAATTGTATATCAGTTAACAACTAGAGAAGGTGGAAAACGAGCAGGCGGTTACTTAACTTACTGCGCGTAATGCGATCGTACGAACACTTCTATTTTACGCTGGCATTCTTGGGGTCGTGGTATTTGTGCGAAGGACATGGTCCATTCATACGGCAGAAAAAGCGCCTGAGTGACTCGTTCATAGTGAACATGAAACTATGTAAGTACATATTAAAATTCAACATGTAATCGTAGATGATATAGAAGGATATACCAATAGGCGAGAGTCTTCGTTCCTGGTGTTGCTGGCCATCGCGACTCTTCATTGGCGACTGCTGGAACGCGAGGAGGCATTTGTTCAGTTCGCGAAGAACGTTATCTTCCTCCCATTGCCCAAGTGGCAAAGCGCTGTAATCCTCTGCATCCATTAAGCACACCGTCACCTGAAGATTTATCCACTACGTTTAATCAATTGAGAATTTAGGAACAGTTAATATTATAATTTAACTCGGAAAACTTTTTAACTTAGCCACGAAATTGACAATAAAATTCTATTTTGGACTATAATACGTAGGAATATTTGTTGTACTTTTTAAAAACATTTTATATTTAGCAAGTATTATATTGATAAGTCTAATGGAATTTTTTTTACGAATCTTACTGTTTTAGGCTCGGCGAGTAGTTCGATATTGGCTTTTTGCTTTTTGTCGCTTATCCGACTAAATAATCTGACCCCTTCAGCTTTTAGCACTTCGTTGTCTTCTAGCGCCTCTACCGAGAGCATAACGGGCAGCAATTCCGGCATCATGAACATAGCCAATGATTCCTATGAAATATAAAATTGATTTGACAGGGGCATTTTACTTTCTTTTTGTATTGTATTTTGTAAATATTTAAAATCACTCGTAATTAATTAATTACATTCATTTAAACTTATCTCAAAATGTGCGACATTTATAGGCAACTCATTTATTTTACGCGCGATCATTCATAACTAACAGCCACACAAGTTCGTTTCATAGTATACGACGCATTTATGAATGACTACCGCATTGTCAACAAGTTCTGTCGGGAATAAAATGGTAATTTTTTTGAAAAAAAAAAATATTTTTATTTTAGTAAAAGATTATGCTGTCGAGTTTGAACGTCCTGTGTGAATTTGGGCACCTTTTGAAAAGCCATCCTGTGTGTATAATACACTGCACCCGTGCGAAGCCAGGGCGGGCGCTAGTAATTAATATAATACGTTATACATAAATTGTTTTTTCTCATGTGAAGTGTGTATTATTGGTAACTTTGGAATAGGTTACTTGACATATTTCTTCTCGATGGCTATAATTTATAATTACTTGCGAGTCCCCATCGATGAGAACGTCTCCACCAACTCGGCTGCTCGCAAAGCAAACTCTGATGGCATCATCGTTTTCGCATCGTTCTGGCCGTCCCTCGTGCCTTACCATAAACTTACATAGTGGCAGTGTACATTCTAGCCAATCTTCTATTGTTAACCACTGTTTTGAAGTCATAACCTGTACCAGATACACAACTTATCAATTAAAACAAACTATTATACATATGATAAATTAATAAACTCTGTAAAACTCGACTGAAACTAGCGGGGAAGCATATAGGATTGAAGTCTTTTATGGAGTTTTTTAAGAATTGATCAAGCAGTAATAGTTTCTAAAAGAAAATTTGTTGGCTAACGCCCGGTTTCTGAAACACTGATCATCGTATATGTCAACGAATCAGCTGTCAAATGGATTTTAAAATGTTATTTGAGTTGCCAAAAGGATTGAAAATCTTTGAATTGAACATTCTGATCATTAAGAAGATCACTGTGATCATTTTAGAAAGTTTAACCATAACAAAGTTCGCAATTAAGACTTATACCTGTCCTATTATATTGTAAACGAATTGTTTTAAAAAAGAGAAACTGTTGAGTTTCTTGCCGGTTTCTTCTCTAACTAACTTAAGAACGTATTCATTTTTCTATAAATTTTGTCGTTTCATAAGAACGCGCAAGCGTCTATGTGAATAAATATTTTTTGATTTGATTTTCAGGACAAAACGTGATATTAATGCAAGTTATTTCAGTAAAATCTTTATTATTGTTATTATTACGTTAATATATATTTATTACGTCGCTTGCCAACGAAAGTACTAGTTTTTGTTTAAGTTGAAAGTTAACTGTTATTTTTTTATGTCATTTTGTAGGTCCTTAGACCTTTTTACTCGCAAAAATATAGAATTAAGAATCCTCACCTGTCTACTTAATTTCACTGATCCTTCGTTGCTGTTTTTGTCCAACCACTCAAAATAATGTAGCAAACTTTTTAATTTATTTCTTTGTGATTTTCTGAATTGTGAATGAAAAAAAATAGATTAGTGAAGTTGTACGGAATCAGAGAACATGTCATAGAATCATAAATAAATTACCTGTGTAAATTCTTAAAAAAATGTGTGAAATTGAAGTCTTGTAAAGTCGGATGAGTTTTGAGCGTTCTTTTGGGGAAAGTGGAGAAAAATGCATGAGCAACTAGAGAGGAAAGAAAATTGTAATCCAACTCCGTAACATCGCCTGTAATTTTTCAATAATAATGTAGATTTCGTTATAACCATTTTTATGCCTGTATTATTAACAAAAATATACTCACTTTGTTGCTGTAAACTGAACATAAGCCCTTTAGGCGGACGCCATCTCTTTAGATGGAGTGCTTTGTTCACGAGGATTCTAATTGTATTGTCCAAAAAATTTCTTCTTTCCTCTTCTGTCAACTCTTCTTCAAGGAATTCCTCAAGGCCCTTCATGAGCTCCGGGTCTTTAACGTCATCGTCTGGATCAATTCCTATACTGTTTAAAATGTTATTTATTTTACAATTGTTTCTAACTCTTTATGATTATAATATCGTGAGTTTTAAAAATAGTTTAAAGAATGTATTGTAGAAAATTATATTTACAGCTGAAGGCGGATTGGGGCTTATAGCTTTTTATGAGAGAAACTAGCAAACTGGCAAGCGATTATTCACACTGCTTAGATCTATCACATTTTATGCGGTAGAGCACACCCACACACTACACACTCACTCTGTACTCTTTGGCGAATAATGATTAATAAGAGATCCACGAAATCTGTATATTTAATATATAAAAAGGGATATAGAAAGAAGCCTAAAAGTACTTACTTGCACATGTCATGAATTTTCATCATGTTTGCTGTAAGCTTGACGGACGATGAAGCTAAAAGGAGGTGTTTTAAGTGACGTTGAACTGAAGTCCACCAAGGCAGGTCACACGGTAACATTACGAGCGCCATCTAAGGAACAGTAATTTATTGTAAGAGTCTGTCTTAATTATGTTATAGATTTTCACATAAAAAGACTGATGTACTGTGTTTTTTAAGTGAAAATTAGTCGAGCGAGCAGTTGGTTCACCTAATGCTAAGTGATCAACGCCACTTAGAGACGTCCACAACACCTGAAGTCTTGCAGATGCTTTGGAAACCTTTAAAAAAAGTGGGTCCCGGTTATATCGCTTACCAGGCGAAACGCGAAAGTAGTACTTCCACTACATGTGTAGTTTGTGTAAGGCCACGGCACTTCTCCGGACGAGCCGGCGCATTAGTGCAATATCACAAGCTGTTCCGTGGCCCTACCACAATAAAGTATAAATAATCTCTCTCCCTGTCACGTTTTGAGATCACTTCTTAGTTTCTCATTCTTATTAGGGTTCCGTGCCTCAAAAGGTAAAAAAAGGAAAACTTATACGATCACTCTCTTGTTCGTCTATCCGTCTGTCTGTGTGTCACTGCTGATTTTCTCGGGAACGGGTGGACCTAGCAGGTTGAGATTTATATCAGATACTGAGCAAGGGCGGATCCAGGGGGGGGGGGGTCATGGGGGTGATGACCCCCCCTGGGCTGGGTCCAGGACCTAGGCGGACCACTAATTAAAATTGTTAAACATAATATTTTTATATATTTTTTGCCACAATATAGATTTTATGTAAGTAACTTCAATATTAAATTAATATAATATTTTTAACCGACTTCAAAAGGAGGAGTTTCTCAATTCGATTGGTATATTGTTTTTCGACGTATGTACACCGATTACGTTGAGATTTATGATCCGATTTACGTCATTCTTCTTTAGTTTGATGTAGAATTGTTGCCATTTTGTCCCATAAAAATTTACCATAGTTTGGATAAGTAGTTTTCACTTTAACAACATTTTTACAAAATTTTAATGTGTGTCATCAAATCTTGCAAATTAAATTTGATCTACTTCCCTGTTACCGGTTGAGCTGAAATTTTGTATACATGTGTAAATCGCGAGACAATCTAATACTTTTATGACATGGTGCTGATCTGATGATGGAGCTGGAAGGTGGCAAAAGGAACTTCGAAGGAACTTCGACGAGTAGTTTGCCTTTCACTTAGATAAATAAAAAAATAAACAAATTAATTAATTAATTAATTTCATAGGTACCCAGGATCTTATGATGGAGCTCCATCTTAAGCCGTCCATGAACATATGCATAGGGTTGCAGATGCGTTTTCTCCTTACAATAAAGTGCGTTCCGGCTACCTCACTCACCAGACAAAACGCAGAAGTACTTTACGCCGATCTTCTGTGAGGTCTATTCTGTGAGGTTCCTATGATCACTCTGTAATGAAACGACGCAACCCTATTGTGTCTCGGCTCGTTTGATTCGTCATGACGAGTTCTTTAGTGCTAGATGGTAACCAGGGTCTGATGACAGAGCTGGAATGTGGCCATAGGAACTTAGTAATTAAGGAACACAACTGCGTCGAGTTTGATTCGTCTTAATGGGTGGACCGTTTTTGACGGGTGGTGAGAGGTGGTGGTTTAGTGGACGTGAGTATGCGACCCCATCTTTGGGAAGTAAAGTTTGTTCGTTCCGTTTGTTATGAATGTGGATTCTGTCTGTGATTAGATAGATTAAATGGAGGAACGCTGAATATTATGAATGAATGAATGAATGAATGATTGAATAAGTTTTTTTTTGTTCTTTATGAGCATTTTTTAAACGTGGACGATGAAATTTTTAGTGTACGGCTATTTTAGGAGTTTTCATTTGGGTTGATTATATATTATTATTAACCCGTGTCCCGATAGTCCCGTCTTAGGCTACTTGTCATTGAAGTGGAGCCAGCGTGCAGTAGAGGATTTGAAAAATATTATAACCAATACGACTACATAAAATCTTGTAACGAAGAAATAAATAAAAAGAAATTCCAAAAATAAGTAAGCCTACCAATAGCTACATAAAAATACTTTGGGAGGCTTTTCTAAGTGTATCCATTTTTTTTATTAAATTCTAGACATAAATAAAGTTATAATAAAAAATTATAAATATTTAAAAACACTCGTAATTAATTAATTACATTCATTTGAACTTATCTCAGAAAGTGCGTGATTTATGGGCAACTCATGTTCGTTTCAAAAGTTACGACGCATTTATGAATGAATACCGCATTGTCAACAAGTTCTGTTTTTTAGGGAATATAATGCCAATTTTAATGAAAAAAAATGTGTGTTTTTATTTCAATAAACGGTTATACTACCGAGTTTGAACCTCCTGTGTGAATTTGGGCACCTTTATAAAAGCCATCCTGTATAATTTATGACAATAAAACGCAACGAATTGTTACGAACAAAAAATGAATATTGTAAATCTGTCTATATATGACGAAGTTATGCCCGAACATACATAAAAAAAATGTAAACATCCGAATTTTTAACATCCTTCTTTTTGAAGTCGTTTAAAAATACTTACTTTTTACTTGTATCTATGATTATAATAATTAAATTATAACTTCTTATCAATTGATCACGACTACGTGAACCCCCCTGGCACCAAAGCCGCCCTTGATACTGAGGTCTATAGGTTTATAAAAAAATCTTTCGCAAATTTAGATTTACGAAAACTTGTAAGTACCAAAATTTACCTTAATTTTCAACTTTTTTATTTTTCGGAATTTTCCCTTCACATGTGCTATAAGGCCTTGCTTTTAACCAAAATTGACAATTCTAGGTCAACCGGAAGTACCCTATAGGTTTTGGGTCGAAAACCTATATGGTAGTTGCCGTTGTCTTAAATCACGAAATTTGGCAAAAACAAAGTCTTATAGTACAAATCAAGGGAAAATTCCAAAAAATCAAAAAATTGAAAATTAAAGGGTGTCACCATAGATACACAGTCTCATATTTTTCTATCATCTACGCCCTGTACACGTTAGCGACTCAACCATTACAGCACACACACATACACTTAAAACTTACCCATCAATAAAAATTATATCAATTTTATTATGGCGGTATAATGAGTAGGTACGGAACCCTCGGCGTACGTTTGACTCGCACGGTTTGCTATTCAATATTATAAAGAATAAAAGTTTTTATGAAAAAAAGGTTTGCTATTGTTATAAAGAATAAAAAGTTCATGAATCTGCAGTAAGCTCTGTAAAAAAAAGAACTTTCTCTCATATGATGTTTAAACAAGCGAGTGCTTAAAATTTTTGTTTTTAATTTAATATAGCTTTATTACAACAACTTGACCCACCATTTCATTAGAAAAGTTCCTAAACTAAAGCTAAACGCTTAACGAGTGGGAAAATTATTTTTAGGATTCTTTTAATAGGATTCACTTTCGACTCGCATATGTCATTTACTACGCACATTAATAACGTTCGCAATAGAGCCGCATTTGTCTCCGGCCGGCTACACAATTTAAATAATGCTAAAAGTAAAATGCCCTTAAGGCACAAATTATTATTATATAAGACCTGCGTACGATTTATTATGTCCTACGCATGCATGACCTTCGCCCACACGCACCCTACTCGCTTGTACAAGTTGCAAGTAGTACAAACTAAGTTCATCCGCCGCGCAACCGGTGCGCAGTGGTATCAACACACTCGCACATCAACCTGCACAGCGATTGCAGGCTCCCGACGATTCGCGAATATTTTGAAGACCTGACCAAACGGTTCTTCGATAGAGGCGAACATCATCCCAACCCTCTGGTGGTAAGCGCAGCAAATTACCAACCCGACACAAACGCGAACGTCAACAAGCGTCGCCCACGAAACGTCCTCATCGACCCGGTCGAGGAAGGGGACTTAGATACGTCGAATCCACCGCCGGGGGTCCCGTCGGATAACCCTACACCCACAGTTACACCCAACAACAAACACACTAGTTCGCCCTCGCCTCCGAGTACAGCGAGACCAACACAACGCGTAAACAAGGTACACCTGCGTTCCGGGGTGGTTCTCACCGCTCCCAGCCACCGATTAGCTAATTGCACAGTCGACGGCCATCGGGGTTTCGGTCTGAACCGCGACCTCGATGGCCCTTAGATGACACACCATAGTTAAACGCACGCATGAGCACATGCGTGGCTCTACCCACAGCGGAGGGCCTAAACCCATGGGTTCTGGCTAGCCCACCAGTTCTGCGTCAGATGAAGCTTTAATAGTCTCGGAACTGAAAGCAAAAACATCAGTTAATAAAGATACAAGAGGCAAGTGAATGTGTGGGTCTCTCACATTTTACTCTACATTCTTAAAGCATGTCTGTATACCATGTATAGTTTACGTTATGGGCTATTTGGTCTTCTGGCCATTATGGTTAATTATGGCCATTAGGTTCACAATGAATCTCCAGAAATTTACATATAATAAATGCGATAAAAAAACTTATTTTGAACGCTGAATACTGAAACGTTTTACAACGATAATTCAAACGAGAGATGTCGCCATTGCTTTTTAGAATTTTTTTTATAGTGCTAGTCTTTGCACTTTAAACATTAAATTTGTAGAACATTAAAACAGTAAAATTGTATCATTGTACTACCCGCCGGACAACGTGTCGCCTCTAAGTGACAAAGCCGAACGGGTAATGGTCCACCGATTCCTCACCGCACCTAACACAGCACGCTATACAACAGACATGAAAAAAAAAAATGCACTAAGAATCGCAGAGATGGAATGGAAGGGCAGAGTTATAGTGTCGTGTACCCTGCACCAGCTACGTTGTTTCCTCTCTACGGGTTGACCACAGAAGCTTTCAAACTCCTAAACTATACTTACACAAATACGACCCGAATAGCGTAGTGGGTAGTGTACCTGCCTCCTGCGCCAGAGGGTGTGGGTTCGATCCCCACTACTGGAAAAATATTGTGTGATGTACATGGTGTTTCTATATGCATAATATGTATTTATTTACAAAAAAAGTATGTTTAAATATGTTTATCAGTTTTCTAGTACCCATAGTACAAGCTTTGCTTAGT